TGCAAGGTTACGCCAATGGGAAGAGTGCCGCTTGTGCTGGCGCGGATTCGCATGTATGGACCTGTGGCGCGAATATTATCTCTTTGTAGTTTGTGGCGAGCACACCCGGTCAGATCGATGCGGCCGATGGAATCGCGGGCCATTAGAAGCCGCCTTTATATTGTGATCGAATCGAAACACATTTGTGCGAACACGTTTGTTCCACAGGTAATATAATATTGTTGGCGCCTCCCGCCTTTGAAGTTGCCGACACGACGGATCCGACGGGCAGACGAGTCCGCACCGCCGCCGGCACGGGCGGCATCCTTCCCACAGCACGACAGCGCGAGAACGCACGGCGCCACCTGTCCATCCACGAGCCGTGGGAAGTTAGCTTAAAGGAGTCACCTCATCGCATTAAGCCGTTCAAAGTGTTCGCACAAATATGTTTCGATTCACCACAGAATCGTGGGCCAATAGGGCATGATACTATGCCACGCAGTTTTACAACACCTATTTCAAAGTTTTACAATATAACGTGATGTGGCATCGTTACGCGACAATCATAATTATCATAATTAAACAACGTGTAATTTCACGAAACGGCGCAATTTCATAAAGGCATATATGCCAGTACTTACTAAGTATAAACACAAAAAAATCTGTTTCTCTACAGGAATTATAATCTGTTTCAGGTAGTAACAGTGCATCCGTCCACCATATAATACTAGACGGATCGAAACTGCCCATGCCTACCGACAACGACTTCATACGAAAATACCGTGATGACTTCACAAGAACCGGGGTGATACTACTTAATAACCTCTTAGAGGTACCTTCCAGGCTCGCCTTGGCGTTCCAATACCGCGATGAGTCGAATCCTCTTGCTAAAAAGAGTGCCATGTTCTTCACTTTGGACATTGCTAAATGTTCCAACCCACCCCGTAAGTAAACGATTTCATAATCTGATAAACTAATTAGGGCAAAATATATAATACATCTTTGAGCGCAATGTGTATATGACTTGTTGAAATTCTGTTAGATACATTATAATAAAATTTTCTCTAGTTTTACATATTTACTGTACCTATTTCTACTCAAAATATTGGCTACCTAAAAAAGTCTAAAAATAAAAGTACATTTTGGATTCCGGTCAATGGAACTTTACGTATTTCGTTCTGCTCACCGTGTTATGAAATTTTGGGTACTCCGATCGGTAGAAAGAACGGGAATATTCTTTCCCATGCCTCCGATTAAATGGTTTTTTATCACTTAGAAATATTTTTCATTGACTAGGGTGTCAAAACCGAATACGGCGTCTAAATTTCAGGATCCAAAGTGACCTTTATAATTTTATAATGTATCAAGTAATCAATAAATTGTCAATTCAGACTTCGCATTTTTTTCTTGCAATAACTTACTCATGATATAAATAATAACGCAAATATCATGTGTGGTAATTTATCGGATATTTTAGAAAAGGTTACAGTTGAAAAGTTAGAAAAGGTTACCAATGGTAAATTTATTTGTTCGAGGCCACCGTACATCGAGTATATAACCAGAAACTCGATGCCACCATACTACGGCCGTTTTATTTTGTAATAATAATAATGTTTTATTTTCTCTCACATCAGATGTATGTACATAGTAACAGTATAGAGTTTCAATATTCAGTTTTGTGTGAGACAGGACTTAGGACTGGACTACTTAAAATGTAGTTAAATTACATTAAATTAAACCGCTTCTTATTAATAACGTTAGTTTAATGATAAATTAATTTGTTTTAATTGTATGTGTGTAAGTGATATACAGGGTGTCCGGTAAATAATGGATAAGCCTGAAATGCCTTATAGTAGAGTTTATGAACGTTAAAAAAAATAGAAAGAAAAATACAACCCATCTAGTACCTATGATATATATACATATATTTTTAATTTAATTATTTTCACCTTATTTTACGTTTTTGTACACCACGACTACAAGTTAATCAATTCCTTCGGTTTTTTGGTGTCATAATATTCTACATTAACTGTGCTAATAGATAGGCAGTAAATAGTATGACTAACCATGGCACTTTTTGCTGCACCTCCCCAAGTCGAAATTCCGTACGTTATAACCCATTGACACAGTTTTAAATGTTTTCTCATCCATTACATGTCGTAGATTTTTTAATATGTATGTATTTTGTAATTTATAAAATTGTTCTTTTCTAGGCAACTATCGACACACGAGAGAATCGACAATTGCCTTGCAAGCAGGTGGACAGACATACCGAGCGACAAATTAAAACCATTATTAGCTAGAGTCGTAACGTTGTGGTCGACGTAACTGGCAATACATTTTGAAAAGACACGCACGTTATTTCAAAATCCATTTACGTTATAGTAATATAAATTAGTGATGCAACGGAAGTGTCATGACAGAAACAGAAACGGAAACAGATGTCAAAAGTAAATCTTAGCGGAAACGGAAACAAAGCGGACGCGGATGCGGAAGTGTAAATATTAAAAATCTCAACGAAATAATTCCAAACTGGGCTTGTGTTAATTATCGTAATTGCACTTAACAGTACACAAAACTGCTAAGAACCACGCGCCTCGTCAGGCCGTCAAGCAATATGCACACGTGTCTGGTAAAAGTTCCGTTCCGTAAGTAGCAGAAACGGAAACAGATATGAAAAAGCGTACTGAACTTCCGCAGTGTCGGAAACAGACGTCTGTTACATCACTATATAAATGCATTCTGGGAAAATATATGAAACTTGTAACTATGTTAAGAGCTTAGGTATAACTTTGTATTTTATATTCTAAAAAAATCGCGGTAATACAAAATATTTTAGATTTAATTAGAGCAAAAAAATTGTAGCTATGAAAGCCAAGTTAAATTCTGTAAAAACAGTTTTCTTTCTTTGAACTCATCCCGTGCCCCCAACTCTTATAATGGCTGTTGCTACTAGTTAATTATGTATTTAATGTAATTATAGTAGGAGTATATTAAATTTATTTATTCTCATTGTTGTTTTACTTCAGTGTGAAGTTGTTTGACACACTTCATAAGTCGCCTGCAATATGTATACAATAAATTATTCAATTAAGTTAAATTGTGGTAACATTTTACCCGTTAAATCTTTGCCAGCAAAGATTTTCATTTGTGGATATTGTATGACATCAATTAATGAGTGTCATACTTAATTTCGACAAACACTATTTCGATTCGACAGTACTTCGACTACAGAACTATCGACAGAACATGAAATCGACAAATAATTCTATTTCTCTGACATATTTATTTATGTACATAGGGCGCACTATAAGTTTCCGGAACTGGCCACTTACATAAACAATATTTAAAAAGTAATTACAACATTTGATAATGGAACTCTTTGGCTGTAGAATACAGTTTGTTTCATCTGACCGTCACTTGTTTTTACATTAGGGCGTCATTTTAGAAATTGGTTGCCTACATCACCATGGATTTAACTCGTGAAAATTTTCGTAGTATGATTTTCTAGGACTTTTAAGTGTAATTTAACAGCTCAGCTGAGCTTCGCTCGGCTTCAAACTGCTTTTAGCGATGAAGCACCATGCAAGACAACTATTTTTATAGCTTGTTTGCAGAATTCAAAAGTCGTGTGAATCTCTGTGACAAATTTCGTGATGGTTGCCCGTCCACTTCTGTGAACAGCAAAAACATCGATGCTGTGCGCCGTATGATCAGAACACACAGCCATGTGACATACCATGAGATTCGGGCATCTTAGGCATAGGCATGAGTCAAATACAATCAATACTACACAAACATTTGGGTGTGAAAAAGCTGTGCTCTCAGTGGATCCCACACAATTTGACTGAGGCTCAAAAAACGGATCGCATCACATGGTGCAATGCCATCCTTACCAGATTCAACGAAGGGGCGTCAAATTTGGTGTGGAACATAGTAACAGGTGACGAAACATGGATTTATAGTTACGATCCCAAAACAAAGCAGCAATAGAGCGTATGAGTCTTTCGAGATGAGCCGAAACCAACCAAAGTGGCGCGCATGCAAAGTGCCTCTAAGCGGATGATTGCTTCTTTTTAAAAAAAAACTGTACACGTGGCTACTGTTGCTTTGGAGAATCGTTGTACCGTGAATAGTGATTGGTACACGACCATTTGTTTGCCGAAAGTTACTGACAAACTCCGTAAAAATAACCGTAAACGCCGTATCATCTTGCACCACCATAATGCCAGTTCTCACACGGCCAGACAGACATGAATTTTTGAAGGTGAACAACGTTGACCTTATGAGCCATCCCGCGTACATTCCCGACCTGGCACCTTGTGACTTTTATTTATTTCCAAAAATTAAGAACCAGTTACGCGGTCAACAATTTTCATCACCTGAAGAGGCTGTCGAAAAGTATGAAAAATATGTTTCAGATTGTCACGGAGGAGTGGCATAAATGTTTCCAAAATTGGTTCATTCGTATGAAAAAGTGCATTAACGCTAACGGAGAATATTTTGAGAAACAATACATTTATTTCTGACCATTTATTGTGTTTTTTTCTTATTCATTCCGGAAACTTATAGTGCGGCCCACGTATGAGATATTCCGCTCAAGAATGAAGTGGTCCCTAAGTAGTCTCTCAGTACAGCAAATATTTATATTAAATATTTCATGTTCTGTCTGAATAGTGACCTGTCGAATACATGTGTTGTCGGCATCTGAATCACTTTTGTTTTAGTGTAATTAGAATAAGCTAATCCAGCGTGGACAGTAAAACACCCTTATAACTTTTGAACGGCGAACAGACTAAATCTAGTTTTTTTGCGACTAGACCCGACTAAATAGCGTCTTTTTATCTGGATAGTCAAATTTCAAAAGCTCTACCATGGTCACGCTGGAATAAGGCACGCTGTCGAAGCAGTGTTCTGTCGGACTAGTGACCTGTCGAACATGTGTTCCGTCGAATTAATGTGTTGTCGAAATTAAGTCAGTCTCTCAATGAGAATTTTTTCTTGTATAACAATTGGATATTAATAATAATACAATTTCGTTGTGAACGACGGTACAAAATAACTTTTGGAAAATGTAGGCCCAACTTTTTACATTGTTGCGGAATGGAATGAAAGCCAATTTTTGTAGCGAAATCGTACGTAGCATATTGAACTTTATGTCAATTGTGTAACGCCGATCGAAACGCCGGCTTTCTGCCGCACCAGCCTGAAAAAATTGGTGTTTTTAGGATTGGTCGCTATTCTCGAAAACCATCAATATGTAGGCAATAAAAACAAAAAAAAATATTTAAGAACTTACTTTATCAACTTTATTTACAATCTTACTTTTTAGTAATTAGTCTAAATTATTGGTACATACAAGCTTATTGTATAGGCCAGAGAGCACTTTGGTCGGATGTATTCAAATCTGGTGCATCATTGAGATCGTCCAAGCTGTCAGGCTCGAGTTCGTTATTGTTTCTCGCTGGAGAATATGATGTTCTGAGTTCTTCTTCCTCGTCTTCGTCATGAGACTCTTCAGATTCGTCGGATTCGTCATTTCCTGTAGATATTATATGACAATGGTTAATATATTTAATAAAATTTTAATCATTATTTCCACAAGAATAGTCTTACAGTTCCTTACAATATGAAGATTGTGCAAGGAACGTAAACTTAATAATAGTACTAACAAAAACGTTTAAAACGATTTAACTGCATCGAATTTATAATCGTAGTTAAGGTAAATAAAATTGTTTATATACGTTCCATAGTTCCAGAGGCAAGAAACCCTCAGTGACAGAAACGACCAAGCGAAGCGAACTCTGATGGACTGAATTCCTAATGAAGTCATCTGTCAAAGAATTAAAGAGACCGTCATTTTTCGCAAAATCAGTAAGACTTAAGTGGCAGTGGGCTAAACACGTCTACAAGAGCGCTAATGGCCCATGGAGCAGATTTGTTCTAGAGTGGCGATCACGTCAAGGCAAATGTAGTGTAGGATGCTCTGCGGCAAGATGGACGGATAACTTGAGAAAAGTTGCCAGGAGCGGTAGAATATGGGGGGCACAAGACCGGGAGAGTTGGCGTGCTCAGGGGGACGCTTATGTCCAGCAGTGGATGCGTGTAAGCTGATGATAAAGAGTCAAGCTTGACACTTACGATTTAATTTCAGTTCTATGCCACTTGCGATAAAGACTGTTCAAAGTGTCAAGCTTTATCTGTTCTTGTCTGTATATAATCATGAAAAAAATTATACAATCGGTACAGAAAAAATATTATACCTTCTTCTTCATCTGTATCTGCCTCTTCTTCCATTGGCTCAGGGTCCGTTTTGCCGAGAGGTGCGCGTTTTGTATATTGCTGACCAATTGAACTTAGCTGTAAACAAAAGTTTATTAATGTGAGAGAATCCACTATAAAATATCAAACATATTACTATTATCATGTATAACAGAAAGGTGCAGTTATATTTAGACAAAATACAAACATATTCACAGACAATTACAAAATTATTTTACTCCCCACTATTTTATATAGGTACGTAAATTCCATGCCGTAAAATTTCAATCAACTGATTGCTCATAAAACTACTCACACAGACTGCACACCTCTATGACGTCAGACCACGATACAGTGTTTATCGGTGTATGTATGAAAGATGTGAATGATTCAGTGAATGGTATGAAACTACAGGCCTACCACTTAACTGAGTCGGTTTCTGAGAAAGCTGCGCCTTGAGAGAGGAGTAACAGTTTATGTAACGGTTATGTCACGCTACCACATTTTTTTGATGATATTCAATAACATGTTGATTGAAAAAACTGCTTACCAAATTAGTCAATTTATTGTAGTTATGTGAAACAATAATTTAAAAAAAACTATTTCATTGACAATTAAAATGAACAGACAAGCCATTAGTCACTTTTTTTCTATCAACTTGTTATAGAACATTGTCAGAAAAATCTTGCTGAAATTACCCCGTGTGCAGCGTGACATAACTGTTACGTAAACTGCCACTCCTCCCGCACCGCGCAGCTACCTCACGAACCAACTCAGTTAAGCGGTAGGCCTGTAATTAGCAAAGTTGTTTTAGTTCGCACTATGTTATTAATGAAAATTTATGTACAGTTTTGATCAGCTGCATATGACATTCTATGAGAAGTGGTTTAAGTCAACTTGATCTTTAATTACATTAAATAAATATAAATTCAACCAAAAAGCTGAAATTCTCTTTCAATTTTAAAAGGTCAACTAGGGGTTCATGTATCTTAGAGCATCGACTGTACACATTATATGGAAGTAAATGAAATTCCGATGTGTCAGAGCATGAATGTGCATTCTTTTGAGTCATTTTTCAAATATATTTTATCGTCTCGTAGAACTCTCTTCTTGTTTAGTTGTGGTTTATTCACGTTATATTATACAGGGTGTTTGGTAGATGGACCGACACAATTTTTTGGGGATTTAGGGGGGTCATTTGCTAACCTTTACCCTTTGACCCCATGTCCTGGGTGTCACGGGAGGTTGGCATTAGAGAATACCAACATAGCATTAACCACTGATTATATAAAACAAAACTGTTTCAACTATAGTGCGCGCGGAACTAGCTGGCCGCGCCTTAGGTAGGGACAGGGGTGAGGGGGCGGGTTGCTTGCTGCTCGCAACGCACATGAGATTAGACAGTGACGACCAATCTCGAGATATCGTGAACAATAATTGTTCAGTTATTGAAAAGAAAAAATTAAAGCCAATTGAACTTTTACAAGTTTATATTATACCTATCTAATTAATTGCAATGTACAGTCGGCAGCACATCAGGCCGCCACAAACTGTCAGATTTCCTCAATTGATTTTCAACTTAAAGTCCAGGGAATAGAGTATAAAATTGATTGGATAAATTTGACATTTATGTATTGATGGACTTGCTGTTGTCCGTACATTGCAATTAAAAGTAAAATAAACCAAAAACAAATTAAATGAAATTCTTCCGACATATTTGAATCATTTATGAAATTATTATTAATTAATTAGTGTAACTAACACGACTTTGTATTTATAGATATGAAATTACTCTGACATATTATCCTCTGAATCACTTGATTCTGAATTGTCTGAACTTGAGTCAGAATCATCTTGTAAGTTTATAATGAATTCGTCCATCACAGTATCATATCTCATATCATGATTCCAGTATTCTTGTTCGTTTTTTTGTACGTGGTCGTCGCATTTTTGCCATTGTTCGGCAGAAAATTCAGAAAATAGTCTTGTTAGTATTGTAATTTTCTCGTCCAATGTAGCATTAATGTGATCTCTGGCCAGGCAATTTTTTATATTTGCCCACACAAGCTCGATTGGGTTGAGATCTGGATGATATGGAGGTAGTCTTAGAACAGTATGACCTGCACCTTTCAGAAGTTCATCAATCGTGTATATTTTTTCTGATTGGGTCGTATTAATCAAGCCCAAGAGTTCAGCTTTGACCATCGTGGGAGAAAAGGGCACGTTATGATTTTGCAACCAATTCTGCATATTAATTTTCATACAGGACATAGTCGGTTTCTTCTCAACTTGCACACAGTGGTAAGCTGCATTGTCCATAACTATGACTGAGTTAGGTGGAAGTTTAGGTATTAACTTTCGATCAACCCAGTTGTAAAAATTTGTAGAGTTCATGTCTCCATGATAGTCTCCTGTTTTTGAATCTGATTTAAAAATTAGCAGAGCATCGTCAACTAACCCGTTCCGACTACCAGCGTGAACTATTATTAAACGCCTTCCTTTGCCTATATCTGCATAAACACCAGGCTCCGACGAAGATTGCCAACATTTTTGGACATTATGACTTTGGTTAACGTAAGTTTCGTCCAAAAAGAATATATTTCGTTTGTCTTCTCTGAATTTTCTTATGGCCCTCAAATATTTCACTCGCCATTCAACAATGTTTGGTCTCTCTAATAAAAGGGATCTCTTCGATTTACATTTTTTAAATGAATATCCCAGTTTGTGCAAAAGTTCTCTTAAATAAGTTAATCCGCAATCTAAAATATTATCCTCTTTTAACACAGCATTTAGTTTTCGTAGACTTGGATTTGTTTTCTGTACCGTATAAAACTGATTTATTTTTCTTCTTATCACTCCTAAATCAAAATCATCAACTTGTATTTTCTTTTTTATCTCTTTTGGCCTTCGTGGAGAACTAAATTTTGCTTCCCCTGTATTTTGCAAGGATGTTTTACTTTGAGCAATCACTCTCCTTACACTTCGTTCTGATATCCCGATTGCTTCTGCCACTAATTTATGAATATTCGCATCAGTTTTATATTCTAAACTATTGACATCGGCTTTCCGTTTTTTAAAAAACGTATGCACTTTAAATATTATTTCCTTAGATTGTCTTTTTATCGGCGGACTCATCTTGACATTGCAATCTCTTGTGCGTTTTGTCTAAACTAGCCAGAACTGTCAACGTGTGTTGCCGCCGCGAAGTCCGGCGCCGAACTGAGTATTCTGAGTAATGACATCAAGTGCCCCCGCCTCCCCGTCCCACCGCTCACATACCTAAGGCGCGGCCAGCTAGTTCCGCGCGCACTATAGATGAGAGCGAAGTTTGCGCAGGTCCGAGCACTACAGGGCAGAGTTCGGCACTTATTACAGTGAAAAAATATAAAACAAACCTGTTCAGAGGGACAAACAAAGGAAGATCGTCAAGTGTTTCATATGTGAGGGACCACATAAAGCTTACGACTGCTTGCAGAATCCACGTCCATCCAAGACGAGTCATACGGCAACGGAACTGACTTCTGTTCAAGAAAAGACCAAGGAAGAAGAATGGATTTTAAGTTCCGGAGCATCAGCACATATGAGCTATAGGACCGACTGGATGGATAAGTTTATGAAAGTAGGAAGGAAGGTCGAAGTGTGTTGCATAAATGAAGGTAAAGCGTATGGAGAACGTTTTGGTACAGTGCGATATCTTCAATATGTGTGAGTGCACGATACAGGGTCAACCATGTATGATAGGAGTACTTGATAGGGGCGTTTATAAACTTTAATGCTTCCCACGGGCCAACGGAATGGTGACAGGAGTAAGCAACGAGTTGGAGCTTTGGCATAAAAGAATGGCACACTTGTGTATTCGTAACCTCACTATTCTTAAACATAACCTGGCTAATGGGGTGAGTTTTCCTAATATTTCTAGTAGTCAACTGGGCTATGTAGCCTGTTTGAAGGGCAAACAGCCGTTTGAACGCAATAAAGCTACGAAAGCTAAAGATCTTCTAGAATTGATACATTCTGATATTAGTGGGCCAAAGAGTGATAAGTCTTTCGGAGGTCTTCGTTTTTATATTACATTTATCGATGCCTATTCGCGAAAAATATTTTGTGTATTTTCTCAAAGCGAAAAGTGTGACTTTTGAGTTTAAGAAATCTGCAGAGACTCAAACCGGGACGAAGCTGAAGGTGTTGAAGACAGATAAAGGGGGCGAATACGTTAACATGAAAGTCGATAAGTTCTTGAGAGAACATGGTATTAAGCGTCAAGTTACGATTGTATACACACCGGAGCAGAACGGTGTTGCTGACCGTGCCAATAGTATCATCGTGCATCGCTTAAAAGGCCCGAGCAATACTGCAGGAAGCAGGACTTCTATGACGATCTGCATTACGAACCGTTACAAAACAGAGGAAGTGTTCAGCGAGAACAGAAAAATTATGAAGAGTATCTACAATCAAGTGATAGAGATCAGGTTGATGAAGTTACTGAAAAGTAGATGACGAAGAAGATCAATGATTGTCATCTGAAGAGGGAAATATATGATCCGGAGACCACACCTGAATCTATAGTGGTGGAATGGAGAAACCTACAGCGAGAAAGAAAAACCAATCAATTTCCTGACTTTATCACCTACCAAGCAGTATCAGAAACAGATGATTCTACAACAGTGCAAGAGGCATTGTCACCAAGAGACGCCAAGCAATGTAGAGAGGCGATTCAGGAGGAGCTGGATTCTTTAAACAAAAATGAAACGTGACTTTTCTTAACATAGCCTGAGGAAGCAACTAAAAAGGAAACAGAGAATAAAACACGTTACAGGATTCGTTTGCTTACACGAGGCTTTAGCCAAAGAAGAGGCATTGATTACGACGAGACGTTTGCTCCTATTGTGAGACACAGCTCGTTAAAAATGCCGATTGCTTTGGCCAAAAAAAATAGATCACATGGCCGTTAAAACCGCGTTCTTAAATGGTGATCTAAATGAGAAAGTTTATATGCAGCAGCCATCACTGTTTACAGAAAAAAAAGGAAGATCACGTATGCTTATTAAAGAAATCTCTTTACGGACTGAAGCAAGCGCCACGATCCTGGAACCTTAAATTTTTTACTGAGCTACAGAGCCTCAAGTTCAAGCGCCGCTGTAAACATGAATCCTGCATATACACAAGGTCTACAGGAAAGAGCTTAATAATATTAGATGACATTTCATCTTTTACAACAACGAAGAATAAAAAACAAAATTTGAAATGAAGGATCTAGGAAACGTTGAACTATTTCTTGGGATAGAGATCAAACAAAAAAATTTTTGACCGTGTATTCAAATCAAGCAAGAGGGTTACACTGAAAAGCTTTTTCACAGGTTAAGATGGAAAACTGCAAGGCAGTTAGTACACCAGCTGCTCCTGGACAACAATGTGAAAAAGGACAAGAGTGTACAAATGAAAACTTAGCCTACGGAGAGCGGATAGGATATCACTGATGTATATAGCTGTACGTTCAAGGCCAGATATAGCCAAGCAGTAAACTTCATAAGTCAGTTCTGCAATGGTTATGATGAAGTGCACTGGATCGTTACTAAAAGGATCTTGAGATAATTAAAGGGTGCCAAGAGCATTACTTGTGTACGCTAAAGACGAGTCTTGTAGAAATATTCAAGGTTAGGCAGATGCTGATTACGCTGGAAATATAGTTGACAGAAGGTCATATTCTGGCAATGTGTTTAAGATGGCAAATGGAGCCATCTCTTGGCAGATCACTAAGCAAAGATAGCTGCCTTATCGACAGCTAGAGTTGAGTACATCAACTTTTCAGAAGCTACAAAAGAAGCTATAGCTTATATATTATAATATATTTCTACAGCAATTTTGAATGAAATCACGGACAAGGATGAGTTGCCTATCAAGATACATACAGATAGTCAATTTGCTATGACAATAGCTCGAAATCCAGTGCAACAACAGCAGACAAAACATGTTCGCTCTCATTTTATTAGAGAAGAATTAGTAAAGGATACTATAAAGCTCCAAATATTTAGAAACTAAGTGCATGGTTGCTGGTGCTTTAACGTCACCGACCACTGTCACAAAGTGCGTTTCCCCGCGCGTCGAGACCCCGTTGACCCCTCAACGCGACTACGCTGCTGTTGCCGCTGCTAACCAACTCAGTGCTCCACAACCACAACCCAGGCAGTTACCAACAAAGGGGAAGAAAATGAAAACGAAAGGGATACTTATGTCTGGAGCTGTGTCGTCAGTACCACCGAGAAAAATTGATCAGTGCATCGAGAACAGTTTCAAAAAGGTGGAAAGGAAAAAGAAGTATCCCTAATCATTTATTGCGTCTGCGATACCGACGACATTGTTACACATGTCACGGCTTCATTACTCCACAAAGTCTGCCGATATTGTGGAGTATAATATACGTGTGACAGACAATGCTACCTTGAGAGTCGTGCAGTTGGAGTCACGCCACAATGTGAATTTTAATACATTTGTGGTCCGAGTACCAACTCCACATCTATCGACCTTCATGAATGATTGATGAGTTTTGGCCGAAGGGTGTCATGTACCGACTTTTCCGAGGCCTGCTATCGGACACCCACATTGCATCACACGTCGCCGACAATACGTGTCAAAATCAAATTCAAAATAATCTTTATTTCATAGGTAAGCATTATTACACTTGAAATTAACACATTGAACAAATTCTACTGCTCATTTGTAAGGCAGATTCTCCTGAGAAAAATGAGCAAGAAACTCTAGGGGTTGCTCTTTGTAAATAACATTTGTATGCATTCAACTTTTACAACATATATTTTTTTTTGCTTTCAAACATCAGAGATCGAGACTACCTCCATGAGTTAAACGGGTTACTACCACGGATTTTTGTCATCCAAGTACACAGAAGTTATATAATAACCTTTAGTATAAAGCTTTTGTTTCTCTATAGTTTTAAACCTCGTGTTTGAAAAATTTGTATATCAACCGGAATCTTGTTTAAGTGTATTTTTGTACATTGCACCTTATATGAATTTGTCACTTTGTGAAGACGACTATCCAGAACAGCTAGTTTGTTTTCATTCCTTATGTCATGTCTGTCAATATTTTTCATAAAGAGATTACTATTCCTCTTAACATAAATTACATTTTCATAGATGTACTGTGACGCTAGTGTAAGAATATTAATTTCCTTAAACTTCTCTCTCAAAGATACTCTGGGGCCCAGATTTTAAATTACCCTAACCACACATTTCTTCAGGACAAAGATTCTATTGATATCGTCTGCATTACCCCAAAGCAAAATGCGGAATGTCATTAGACTGCGAAAGTAGCTGAAGTGAACCAATCTAGCGCTTTCGACATCTGAAAGTTTCCGTATATTTTTAATTGTTAACACTGCAGAGCTGAACCGCTTTGATAACTTACTTATACGTGGACCCCTCAAAAAATACAATTTTATTAACAGTTATCAGGATTGTAAGATAACATCAAAACATTACACCCTGTTTTGATTCAATTATTCGTTTCTAACTACAATGTTAGTAACCGTCTCTCTAACATTGGGTAATGTAAATTTCACACAATTTATTTTTGTCTCATTAAGGACCTGCTCCTTATTAACAGCAAACCAATCAACTACTTTAGATATATAAGTGTAAATAATAATTAGTCATTAGTGTTTAATTATATTATTATGTATGTTAGCCTATAAGTATTTATGGGTCTTTGTAACCTGAATACAAATAAATAAATTTTAGAATAAAAAAAGTTTAGCGAAAGCATTGTTAAAGGGCAAGTATGAGTTTTGCCGTAGATAAATGGGTGTGTACTGAGTGTTCATGACTGACAAATCGTTTTGATAGTGTAAGTAAAAACAGGTGTAAATAATTGGGGAGAAGTGTCAGAGCATGGATGTGCAATCTTTTACATACTGGCCGGTGTGAAGTTGAGAGTCCTCTTCTTGTCAAGTTGTGGTTTTTTCATACATATATATGATTTTTTTATAAAAATCTTTGCTAAATTATTCAAATCAGTTCACTCATTTATTGGAGCCGGAAGAGCTCTATCACGATGCATTTTTCCGAATTCTTTTTGTAGTTGCAATGAATTCGGAATATCTGCGGACTACGCACTTACCCATTGGTGGTTTGCTTGTTCCAAAGCCCAAAGTTCCGCTTCTTCGTCGCAGGGACTGTCTGCGTTAAACCACTTGGAATCTGTTAGCCGTGGCGTTAGTACGGGAAACGGAATATTCATCTTCGCGACAGAAAAATATTAATTCCAAAGTGTAGACTTATTCGTCTTTTTGCTTACCGCCATTAAGATTTAATCAGTGTCGAGTTTTCTGCGTTTTTTAGAGTATTATAATGTAAATAAAACAACAAAAATAGAATTATCTGTGCGCATCTGTCCTGTCACTATCAATGTCAATTGTCAGTCCCAATCTAATAGTCTGTGGTCAGTCCATACCATACCACAGAACATGCACAAAACACTATCGCAAGGAGATCCGTTTTACTGAACTTTGGCTCTATGAAATTACCTAAAAAATAAATAAAACTTAACAACCTTCAAACTAACATTACTTAAATTAAACATCGACTAAACCTAAATAAAGCAACGCAACAGATCCAACCTATATAAGCAGGAGCTTCTTTTCCCTAGACACAAAGAATGTATTTACATATTACTATTACAGTATTTAAAATATATGTTAGGTATATGTAAATTCAGAACATTAATCTAAGGGTCGTATTCCAGAACTCTACTCAATGCTCAAGTCAGGATTTGAGCAGACTTGAGTATGATTTCAAACACTGGAAATACGACCATAATGGCAAGGACTTGAGTATGATTTCAAGCACTGGAAATACGACCCTAAACTCAAGGACTTGAGTATTAGTGCTTCAAATCATACTCAAGTCCTGACTTGAGCATTGAGTATAGTTCTGAAATACGGCCCTAAGTGTGATTTAGGTGCCAAAAAGCAACATTGATTATTTCTTTCATAAACAAGTGGCTGAAAACCGCGAATAGCAAAGAAAAAAACCAGTCAAAGACTTTAGGTAACATAAGAATACGTTTATATATTACATTTATAATCATGCATGCTAGGCGCACTGTAATGCAATATAATGAATGTCGAACTCAGGAAATGGATAGTTTAAAAGCCGTCCGCCGCGTAATGCAGGGCTATGAATATAGTCGCAGCGTGCAAGCTATCCTGCAATGCGTCCTGCGAGACTCCATACGTACGCCATAATGCAGGATAGTGTGTGAGCAGTTTCCTGCCTGTGCGGCCGACTGCCATGCAAGTAGTGAATGGGCTATTTAAAGGAGGAAAATGAAAAGGGCGAAAAATTCATTATCCTGAATTGCAGTCCGCCTTGCCGTTCTTATATGTATTATAAATGTAGTCACGACGTCTTCGCGGCGTGCAAGACATCCTACAATTAGCGATGGGGCGAGTTGTATTTGTTTTAACTCGAGTTACTTGAATTGACTTGACTGCTAACTCAACTAGGAGTTTCACAGGGAACCGACGATTCACCGAGTTGGACACGATCCGCCGGTCGACCGCGACTCGAGCGAGACCGAAGGTCACCGAACCGACCGAGCTAGCTCGAGTTCACAAAGTGTAGCTCGAGTTGACTCGTTATGGGAGTAACTCGAGTTAAATAACTCGACTTGCCTATGTGCCGTGAAGGTCATTCGGTTCAACGGCGAGCGGAGCGGGTCAACCGAGTTTGCTCGAGTTCATGAAAAAGTAACTCGAGTTGACTCGTTATAGGAGTATCTCGAGTTAAATAACTCGACTCGCCCATCGCTACCTACAATCCTGCAATGCGTCAATGGGAGGCTCCATACGCGGGCCATACGCAGGATAGTGTGTGAGCAGTCTCCTGCCTGTGCGATCGAATCTGCCATCCAGGTTGTATGTTATGTGGGTGCGAAAAAGACAAGAATGAAAGGAAAAAGGTTTTCACTTCTCATGCTCTTAAAGTTCGTATTTATGCGTATTTATGCTGGGTGTAGTCTACATAAAATAGGATTTTAAGCTCTAGTGCATAAAAAAAAGTTGTCGTTTAAGACCGAGGCAATGACGCCTGCGCCAACAGCCACGCACATTAGAAATTTATAAACAAATTGTTGTAATTTTACATTCAATTTTAATTAAATAATCGATATTTGTAATATTGCTGTTTAATTTCCTCGCAATCGAAGTGAAAAGCAGAGTGTATAACTCGTTCATAAAACCCATTTTACCCTAAGGATATACACATCTCGGGTAAGACGCCGCGTTTTATACATACATACATACATATACTTCACGCCTTTTTCCCATCGCGGTAGGCAGAGACAACAGTCTTCCACCTGCTACGGTCCTGACACACATCTTTCGCCTCATCAACACGCATCAATGGTTTCATACACGCTCGTCGGTTAAGGGTACTCTTGATCTGGCCCTTCTTTAGGATGGTCAGGATTTAGAATGTTTTATGCACTTGTTGTATGTACATACAATCGATTATTTTTTTCAACCTCTAAGGAAAAGACCTTTGAAAAACACTAACTAAAGGTGGGCCTTACAGGATATTTCAAAATGGAAAGTCTTTTATGACCAACACTAATTATAGCAAATATATTGGAATAATTGCTGTCAAACAAACAAGGTATAGGTACATACAAAGGTGTGCATTGTGCATTTGACTTCCATCTCACCTGTTGGAAAGTGAGAAAGTTTGAATTTCAAAGTATGAAAGTTCAGTAGGTACCTATCTGTTGTTTTTTTTCCTCAATCTACTGTTTTTAACCACATTTAACCTGACACCACTGAGCGGCACCTTATAATAGGGCGGACCCACTCTTGACGCAAGACTCTTGAAATCTGGTATTGCAATAATCGTTTTCTTCAACACGTGCTTACGTTCCAAAACATTTTTGGAAAAAAATTAACAATTAGAAATTTATGTAAAAATTGCCTTTTCTCCCTCAGAATCAATACTGACTGAATCTTACATAATTTTTATGTAATCCTATCACAGTTCTACACTACATAAAATGTTTGTCTGTAGCTAAAGCGCTTCATGCTTGACACTTAAATTCTACTCTAGCTGCTTGCGATAAAAACGATTCAAATTATCAAGCTTGATGTATTCATGGCTAGCCTAAATAACCCAGCAAAGTAAAAGAAAGAAGCAACACTCCGTCAATGTGAACTTAGTGTATTATTTTCATAATAGGTACGTCACCGCTACATAATGGTATAGTAGAATAAAAAAAATACGCAGGTAACTCCATATAAACAGTTAAGGAACACAGTTTCAGTTCAGCTACTGTGAATAAAATAACAGGTCTGAAATCCAATAAAACCATTGGGACATCACACCCAACATCAACATTGGCATCTTATCGGGTCAAACAAATTTTAACGATCGTTTGTGCATTGTTAGTACCGTAAACATTACAAGATACGCAACTTTCCGATGGGAGATTAATTTAATTACTATCCAGCCATCCGTGAAATTCAATCAAACTTAATTTTTTTTCAATTTTCGGCTTCTGTTCATATTTATAATATTTATTAATCATGGTCACGCACATCGATTACAGGATTTCCTTCATATTGTTATGGGTACGTAAATTTTAAATTACAAAATCAGATTTAAGAAGGAAGGAAAGGATAAAACGCCTAATACGCGAGCTAGTTTTTCAAAACAGGATAATATAATGAGAGCCCATTCCTGGCTCTCTATCCAGATTTGCACGATCTTGTAAAGATACATTACACATGATTACTTACTTTCTAAGCTAGAATATACTAAGGTAAGGTTCCATTAAATACTCTCCCTCACGATTCGCAATAATATTTCTAACTTATATTGTTATTTAACTCCGTCATATTTGCTAGCTATTTTTACCCAGGAACACGTAAGTTAAGTTTAAAATCACAAAAACACGTGCACTGTTGGCACATTATACCTAGTCGCCCTGTGCATACCAGCTTCCAGCTTCGCCGTGTCGTAAAGCATGTACGTACACTAAATGCAGGATATTTAATTAGGCTGGAAAGAGTAATTCAGAAAATAGAACCATAAGATATTAAACTACCTTGGTTTGAAAACTCAGCGTATTAACTAATAATTTAGTCAAAGTCAAAGTCAAAGTCAAAGATTATTTATTCCATAGGTAAAATAAATTTACACTTGAAATCGTCACATTTAAGCTACTGCTCGTTCACTACGCTGACCTCCTTGAGAAGAACGAGCAAGAAACTCTAGGGATTGCTCTTTTCAAATAAACTTAAATGCTACGGAATACACTTTGAATCAAATGTGTGTGGATTCTGGAGCCATGTCGTCTTTCCATACATCTTTATCTAACACGTAGTCTTCAATTTTGTAATATGATTTTTCGATCAAAATATTTTTAATGTAGTTTTTAAACTTAGGAAATGATAAACTTAATATATGCTCCGGAATCTTATTGTAAAAACGTATACAGTTCCCCATAAAAGAGTTGTTTACCTTGGTTAAACGAAATCGTGGTACCATGAATTTGGACTTAGCTCTAAGGTTAATATTATGGATATCTTCTTTCTTATTGAAATTATGTATATTTTTACGAGCATATATAATATTTGAGTAAATATACTGTGCCATAGTCATGATACCAGTCTCCTTAAACTTTTCTCTGAGAGAAACCCGAGAGCCTAGACGGTACACAGAACGAATCGCTCGTTTTTGCAATTCAAATATGGTTCGAATATCTGCCGCTTTACCCCACATGAGAATCCCGTAGGACATTATACTATGGAAGTAACTAAAGTAAACTAGTCTAGCAGTACTAACATCGGTAAGCTCACGTATTCTGCGGACTGCGTATGCAGCGGAGCTTAGCCTGCTGGCCAGGGAAGATATATGTGGAAACCATTGAAGTTTACTATCTAAGGTCACTCCCAAGAAGACTGCTTTATTAACAAAGTCTAACTTTTCTCCGTTTATTTCTATGCTTGGACTAGTCGATTTTACGTTAGGTAATTGAAATTTAAAACATTTTGTCTTCTTGGCATTAAGCAATAAATTGTTAGCATTAAACCAATAAACTAGCTTAGAGAGGGTATCATTAATATGGTCATAGTTAATGTCATGTCTGTCTGTTTTAAAAATCAAGGATGTGTCATCAGCAAACAACACTATCTCGCAATGGTCCTTAACAAAGAATGGCAGATCATTAATATAAATCAGAAATAAGAAAGGCCCAAGTATTGAGCCCTGCGGAACACCCATTTTTACCGGAGAACCCAAAGAAGTCACACCGTTTATGTCTACTTTCTGAATTCTTCCGTTGAGATATGACGAGACAAGTTTCGACGCCTTGCCATTTACACCGTAATGTTCCAGCTTAGCAGTAATATGATCAACGCAATCAAATGCCTTTGAGAGGTCACAGAAAATACCAATAGCGTTCTGGGACCTTTCCCAGGCATCAAAGATGTGTTTTAGTAACGCTACCCCCGCATCGCTAGTCGATCTACCACTAGTAAACCCGTATTGTTCACTATGAAAAATATGATTCCTACCGAAATAGGACAGTAATTGAGTCAGCATAACCTTTTCGAATATTTTACTTAAAGCTGGTAAAATTGAAATGGGCCTAAAGTTGCTAGGATCAACTTTCCTACCGCTTTTGAATAAGGGAATAACCTTGCTGTATTTCATTAAATCGGGAAAAACACCTTCGTCAACGCACCTGTTGAAAGCTACAGCTAAATGTGGTGAAATAAGATCAATAACTGAGTCTATAACTTTAGTTGATATGCCCCAGAGATCTTAGTATAAATGAAGCGACTTAATAACACAATCGTCATACTATCTTCGCTAGAATAACTCATGTGATTCGGGCGTTTCTATGGTTATATGAATAATAATATTAATTTTATACACATCAGCGGCAACGTCATCATTATAAGATGGATCAGATTTTGCAAATAAAAATAGATATAGATATAGAACCATCTTATTATAAGTTCAATCCCATATTTAGAACCATATTATATTTCAGTTTCAGACAGTAAAGTCGATGTCCTTAATAAACCAACATTCGTATTTTATGGATAACAGTGGACCCGAAAATGACGTGGCTGACATAATAGTGTCCAAAGGATATTTGCCAAACGAAAAAGATTTGCCCAAAACCTCTATAGTAAAGAATGTTGGTAAGTATTTATGAAGATTTTATTTATGTCTCTTTTCATTGCCAACACCTAATACTGAAACGGGGGTTTCACTTTAGTCGAGTAACTAATTGTGAAGTTAAGAAGCACAACAACCTTGCCATCTCATCGAATGCCATTGGGTGTGACAGCATAAATCGTAAAATGATCACTTCTCTCATTGATATCCTTACTCCAGTTATTTGGTTAGTTGGTTATGACCAAGATCCTTAACTCCTCTATTTCATCTGGTGTTTTCTTACGGCATGGCAAGATGCCCAAATTATCCCTCTGCAGAAAAAACCTAATCCTACTTCCTTTTCCGAATCTCTAAAATAAATCTCCTTCTACCTTTCCTCTCCAAGGTCCTTGAAAGGTTAGTCCACCACCAACTCACTCTTTTTCTTGCCCGTCACAACCTTTGAACTAATTTCAATCCGGTTTCCGCTCGGGTTATAGTACGACTACTGCTCTTGTAGAAATGTCTGTTGACATGCGATTAGGGATGGACAATCAGCTGCTTACTGTCCTCACGTTATTGGACTTCAGCAATGTCTTCAGACGCCTTCAGTATTGTCGATTTCGAATATTACTTGCTCTGTTTGGTTCTCTTGGCATTTCATTGACAGTAATTTATAAGGTACAGCTTGACGTGCTCTTGACTGTATCTTATACGGTTGTCGGCAGCGCCTTCGCTCTGTGATGATTCACTTTCCACGTGGTGTAACGATACAGCTGGAGTGCCGCAGGATGGCGTCTTATCCCCTTTTTTGTTTACAATATTCATCAATTCCATCACTTTTTCACTCACTTCTTCATATCATCTCTATGCAGATGATTTTCAAATATATTCACAAGTCACTCTAATTGACTTACCTGATGCCAATAAAAATACTAACAGGTATTTTGAGAGGATTCTCGCTTGTAGTCGCTCGTTTTGTCTCAGAGTTAAGCCTATCAAGACCCAGGGTATAATTATTGGCAGCCCCCGGTTCATATCGCGTGTCGACTCTTGCTTATTGCCTCCCATCTTACTCGATGGTATTCAAATCCCTATACGGGACACCGTCAGGAACCTTGGGGTCACTTTTGATAAGAGCCTAACTTGGAAACCTCAGGTCACCGAGGTTAGTAGGAGGATGTTTGCTGCTTACACGTCCCAAAACATAGGTAGGAAATCAGTCTGGCACAGTCACTCCTTCTGCCTATACTAGACTATGCGGATGCTTGTTATCCAGACTTGTCAGAGGCTTTACTCAATAAGTTGGAGCGGTTGCAGAATCTTTGCATTGGGTTCATTTTTGGGTTGTGTAAATTTGACCATGTCTTTGACTTCGGATCCAAACTTGGATGGTTACCCATCAGTCGTAGAAGGGACTTACTCCTTTTATCCCTTCTTTACTCTGTTCCCTATAATCCCACCTCTCCTCCCTACCTCAAAAATTGTTTCGTGTTTCATAGCACTACTCTCAGTCGCACCTCACGGTCTTTTCTTACTCTTTCTATCAACTGTCCTATCCATTCTTGTAACTTCTATTTGAACTGCTTCAAGGTTAGAAGCATCAAGCTATGGAATTATCTGCCTGAATCGATCAGACGCGCTAAGTACGAGTCTTTCAAGATTGTACTCAAAACTCATTATCTTACACTCTAATTATTATTATTTAAGTTTTTCTCCTATTCTTACCTATTTTAGATATTATTTGTTGATATTATTGTGTTTTATATAATCCTACTTTCATTTTGTGTGTTCATATGTATTTTTTTTTATTTGTTTATGTATTTTATTTATTTATTACTATTATTCTGGATATCTGTTTCAGACTGTTTTTATTATTCTTCTTTTTAAATTTGTGTATGTGCAATGTGTTTTAAAAACATATTCTGGTGCGCCCTCAGTTAATTACTATCGCATAGCTTTTCCTGTAACCCGGAGGGTGCCTGGAAGAGATTGCTACATATATAGCAATAAGGCCGCCTATTGTACCTGTCTTTATATTTTTTAGTATTATGCTGTATTTGTCCCAGTGTGCAATAAAGAATGTAATAAATAATGTATTGTATTGAAGATTATGGCTTAACAGATATTTAATTTAGTCCTCTCAAATATTTTCTTTTGCTTTCAGATAACGACATCACGTACTTACTTTCAAAGTTGTCCGATGAAGAACTTGTTAAATTACTAAATGAACAACCTCAGAAAAATGTATACGATTTGAGCGACATTGTAAAAGTAGCCGTTGGCAGTGAAACTAAAAACTCTGTAGATAATAAATTCTCAGGCACCGATTACTCAGATGCGAGTAAAAGCCACGGTTTAGGTTTATTTACACACCATGCTCAAAATGACAACAAAAGATTCAGAACAGTAGGATCAGAAAAAGAAAGCCCACAAGGCCAAGCTTTTTTCAGGCTGGAAAATAAGCCAGTAGAACCATTCAATTTCAAGTCAAAAGAGCCTGATACTGAGTACGTTGCCCTTCAGAAACTAAATAACTTGCTCTATAGCCGTCCACAGGAAGATCCTAAAATTGAAGATGACGATGATGCAAAGAAAGAACTACTTTTCGATATTCTTGTAGCTCAACTCAAAGCGCTTTGTTGCAAGAGGAAATATCCAGCGAAAAAACAGGACTTAAAAAAATTCCAGTACAAAACATTATTGAATCAACTTCTTCCACAGCAGGACTCAAATCATTATAAAACTTATGTCTCTGAAAAGGATGCTCCGTCGGAGATATATAAAAAAGCTAATAACGAATTTATGTTTCTGATAATAAATGACGAAATTAAAAGTAACGCGAGCGAAGAGTTAATATCTGTAGATCCTGAAAGTCTTGAGAAAAACAGCAGTGTCCTTTTGCTTGGACCAATCACTACACCTTTAACGGACACACAGTTGAAAGCAGTTGTAAGTAAATCAAATAATATTATGTCAAATATGGGTTAGCCAAATATGGTTCATACCAAAGATTTTTTTCCAAAGATTCATATTTCATTTCCAGATGAAACGTATCTCAAACGAGTTAGCAAAGCCTGACTATTTGCCACTCTTACAACAGTTGTCAGACGGAACACTGAGCGACAGCAATATAAGGTTGATGAAGAGTTTAGTCACAGGGCCTGAGACGCGACGTTACATAAAGCCCCATAGGTGCAACCATCAAGCACCTCTCGCTAAAGTCTTCGGAGGCCCAAAATGGATAATTTGCACGGGATATCTTAATTTAAATACACCAAGTTTATATGACTGAAATAAAATCTACTTTTTAATCTTTCCTACACAATCAAATGTGAACATAAAATCATTATGTATGGAGCAGATTTATGTATTTCTATAGATGTAAAAGATTGATTCGTCCCCAGTGAATCTCCAACATTTTTATAATCAACACAGCAGACGTAAACTCTTCATACATTTAAGGAAAATTTAAGATACTGGCAACTATTGGTGATAACTATTGATCGCGAATTCATGACAAGATTTATGTTGTCAAAAAGTGTCATTATTACAACAATATAGATAATGTGCTAGTTACACAAGTCACAAACAACGAGTTACGAGCAGATTTTAAGAACGTTAACTGTTTTAAGAAGGTGAATTATGAAATGAAGACAACCGATTTTGTTTAATATATCGGACCGCACAACAAAATAAGAAGATAGCAGATCCGATACGCCGTCGTCGTGTGCCGTATTCGTATATCAATTCACACACACAAACAAAATGTGATTTTTTAGTGTTGCAATAATATATACCGTATTTTATTTTACCCGAGTCTTAAGTAACAACAAAAATCGATATCTAATAAGGAAAGAAACTAACGCGTTTTAAATATGACAGAGCGTTCTAACACGAAAGAAATTGTTAGATGTAGCTGGGCAAACAAACATCCGCTGTATATCACATATCACGACGAGGAATGGGGAATCCCTGTTTATAACGACATACGTTTATTCGAAATGTTATGTTTAGCAGGTCAACAAGCCGGTCTGTCATGGATTATTATCTTGAAGAAAAGAAATAATTACAGACAATTGTTTCATAAATTTAATCCATACAAAATAGCTAAAATGACTGCAGCTGACGTCGAAAAACTTTTAAAGGATCCGTCTATTCTCAGAAATAAAGGAAAAATACAATCAATAATAAATAACGCAAAGTGTTTCATAAAAATGGAAGAAAATGGTGAAGATTTTTCAAAGTTTATTTGGAGTTTCGTCAATAACAAACCAATTATACACGATTGGAAAACTAACCATACCATTCTCACCCAAAGTCAAGAGTCTGCAGCTATGTCGAAAGGTTTAAAGAAAATTGGGTTTAATTATATAGGTACAACTATTTGTTACGCTTTTATGCAATCGGTTGGGATGATTAACGATCATATAATGGAATGCGAATTCCGTAAACAAAATCTTGATTACACCGCATGAACTTTATTACAATAATTATAAGCTTCCCTGAAAATTTAGTGATCCTAGAAATGTAACAACCTTGTTAAATGTCACTTTGAATTTAAAAAATATATATTGCGATGTATCTTTGTGATTGCGATAAGTGATTATGTGAGGGTGATTGTGAAGTACATGTATGTACAACTGTTAACATTTATAACTTTATTATAATATGAAAAATACATTGTGCTTTTAGTTGCCTTTAAAAACAGAATATACTTAACGATATCTGCAACTAACCTAAAAGAAAGAATACTTTGTGTGATTTGAGAGTATTTGTTAATAAAATACACTAAGCTAAGGGTAGGTTCAGAAAAGCCTTAAGTGATTCTAAATGCCTCGAGAGGAACGTATGTAGCCATAAAAAAGGGCTGCAAGTACAAGACACTACAATCATGAGCAGTACAGGCATTGAAGAAATTGTAGTACGATGTGGGTGGCTAAACAAAGACCCACTTTATATTACATATCACGATGAAGAATGGGGTAAACCTGAACGTGACAGTTTCCGTTTATTTGAAATGTTGTGTCTGGAAGGTCAACAAGCTGGATTATCATGGATCACAATTTTAAAGAAAAGAGAAAACTATAAGAAAGCTTTCTTTAAGTTCAATCCACAAAAAATATCTAAAATGACAAGCAAAGATTTAAGCAAGCTTATTACTAATCCTAATATTGTAAGACACAAAGGAAAAATTGAAGCCATAATAAACAACTCAAAATGTTTTTTGAGTATGCAAGAAAACGGTGAAGATTTCTCCAACTTCATTTGGAGTTTTGTTAATCATGAACCAATAGTTAACAATTGGAAACATCATAAAGAAATTCCAACACAAAGTTCTGAATCAGTTGCACTTTCTAAAGCCCTTAAAATGCGGGGATTTAAGTACGTCGGATCAACCATTACTTACGCTTTTATGCAAGCATGTGGATTAGTAAATGATCACATTGTTGACTGTATAAGCCGAAGAAATTAAATTTCATAGTATTCAATGTCGCAATAACTCTCATGGTGGTGCTTATGTATCAGACGATATCAATTTCATGGTTCAGTATATCTGTCATATAACCGGGTAAATAAAACATAAAAAGGGCAACACAAAATTAATGTTTTGCTTGCCAGTGGTGAGGTGACGTTTTTCCGTCTTTTTTTTTTACTCGATTTCAACACAGTGCTGTATAGTTTATTATCGATATGAGAGCAATCAGAAGCAATTTTATTACAATGTCGGAAGCAGTGACATGTAATACTATGGACATAACATACTAATTCTATTAATTACCATTATAAATATCACATATTTTACTATTGCCATAGTCATCGATAGCATCTTTTATTATCAATAGCATAGAGTTCATATCGTTGTCAACAATTAATGACAACTCCCACGTTCGGCGCATAAATGCCTACACTTCGTTCGGAGCGCAGGGTTGTTTGTTACATTAATATTTTAGCTGTATTTATAGGTTATAAATATAATTTGAAAAAATTTAGGTGTTGATCACAGTATTCTCGTGCTAAATTGAAATAACACTTGTTAAATTCAGTTGGTACCTATGTATTGACATTTTATACCAGCATCGTGGATTGGTATCTTGATTATGGAGCATGATTATGAAATAGAAATGAAATGCCGAACAATTTTAAATTTAAGGTACTCTTGTTCAACCTACCACAACCACAACAATAAACACGTCTACTATTTGATTGCAGCAACGGGTGACTGTATGTGACTGCCCGGTTGCCGCAACCGGCAACTGTCGATTTCATGTTAATTATATAAAAATAGAATATTTGCTTATTCTTACCAATTGCTTGTATCTAACACAAGACACATGTTTGCGCGGCGCCTATTCGAGAATTTGTGCGTCCGGGCATGAGGCGGTGCGAGGCAGGCGTGCACACGTATAAGCCATGTTACTACGTTTTGCGAATTACCATCCGTACTTGTGTTATTATGATAGCATAAGGTATTAGTCGATCTGTGAATCGATACTGTTAATATTGTTACTAGTCTTTAGAGTCACAAAAACTATCGATATTTTAAATATTCCTTGCAACACTACTATTCCGGAGCGATACTTGCGCGAATTGCCACTTTTCTGTAAATCATAACCTAATCTGCACGTTTTACGAAATCCTAAAATTAACAATGGCTGAACCACGCGAAAGGACCTTCATCATGGTTAAGCCCGACGGCGTACAACGAGGACTCGTCGGTACCATCATCCAACGTTTTGAACAGAAAGGATTCAAGTTGGTTGCCCTTAAATTCATGTGGCCCTCTGAAGAGCTGTTAAAGAAGCACTATAGCGACCTTGCGTCTCGACCGTTTTTCCCGGGTCTCCTTAAATACATTAGCTCTGGGCCAGTAGTTCCCATGGTATGGGAAGGTCTCAATGTTGTGAAGACAGGCCGTCAGATACTTGGTGCCACCAATCCCGCCGACTCTGCTCCTGGTACAATTCGTGGTGATCTTTGCATTGACGTTGGCCGCAACATCATCCACGGCTCCGATAGCGTTCCATCGGCGAACAAGGAAATCGGTCTGTGGTTCACGGAGAAAGAACTCATCGGCTGGACCCCAGCAACAGAAAGCTGGGTGTACGAGTAAAATCCTCCATAACTATTTTAAGTGCAACAATTCCACTTTTACATCTCACTCTAGTGTGCAGTTAGGTTATGCATTTTTAATAAACTAAGATACCTACTTAATTAAGTGTATTGATTTTCATTTACTCCTAGATAATAAAATATGTAGTTTAAAGGTCAAGGTCATACCATAAAAAAGCTTTTTATTGGGAACTTAACTAAGGCTGCTGATCAAAACATGATACAGGACAGTTGTATAACTCGACACCATGGTATAACAATATCAAGCATGTGCCAAATGATACTTTAAAAATTAATTTATATTCTGTATATCATATGAATAGTCCGAAATCTCAACTGATATATTCTTGATAATAATTACAAGGCAATGTATGCTAATTAGCAGAGTGCTTTGTCTAATGACTGATTAAGAAAAATAATCTGGAGTGTTATTGTGCAAGGAAATTGATTGGATGTGATTTTGAGTGACAGGAATAACAACTTAATTAGTAGTTCAATTTTTAACGCTAATCTTTTGTCTATTGCTTACCCACATTTTTGCAAAAATTTTGGTAATTAACATTTTCGCATGAGGATACTAAATAAGGTTCTAAAGACAAAAAAATTGTCTCGAGATTTTTTCATTGCAAAGTACTGAAAGTTTGCTATCTTATTTTAATGAAGTTAGTTCTAGTAATTCTATTGTAAGGGATCCTCTACAATAGAATTACGTATTCTATTTCTCTTCCTGCTTATATTATGCAAGACAGTTTACAGATAAAATGTTACTAACATAAGGCACAACAGAACATTTTTTTTTAATGCAAGAGACATGCTATATTTTAAACCACTGGCCATTCTTAAATTTTAATAATGCCAATCGATAGTGGGAACTTCCGAATCCAATGGTATGTTACTGTAAACAAGTCATTTTCGACAAAATGTCTCTAATGTTGATTGATACTTCTGGTTCAAAGTGTTTATTTATTAATAATATTAGTAAAACTTTTCATGACAAACTTTCAAAAATTAAAAAAGGAAAACGTTAATTTAAATACTCACTACATAAATAAGAATTTTGTAGGATTTCAAAAAACCCTTTTTGCTTCATATTTTAACTAGGTAATAATGACAATCAGTAAAGTTTTAAGGACAAAAAATAAAACATTTTATTTCTAGACAATTTTTACTAATTACATTAAAAATTTTAAATCTAACTTACTAAAATACATCACAAATGATGTAAATGTTTCTGAATGAGTTGAACTTACATAATCGTAACTTAACAAAATATGCCTACAACATAATACACCAAAATATGTGTTATTGTGTAAGTTCATCCCGTCCATTCGAAACTAAATTGTCAAGTTCCTGGATATGCTATATACTAAATCACAATTAGGCGTATAAACTCATGCCTAATTTATGTACAAAAAATTGGTAATGTTTCAACAGACATTTCCATGATTCTCAAAATTATAACATGTGTATGTTGGAGTATAGCGTATCCACAGCCAATTATAACCATTTAAAATATAAAATTCAATCAAAGATCCGGAAATTCAATAATGCACTAAGTGCATTATAATATTGTATATAATATTGCGTTGCGCACAAATTAATTATGTATATTTCAAGTGTAGATTTTACGGTACAGTAAATGCCGTAAACCCTACTCATTATGTATAGATTAATCTATTATGCCGGCTGACGATCAGCGTTGTTTTGATAAATAACGAAGCTCATAGTCCATTTGAGAAATATTTTACATAAATCATCATTACATTAAGGCAAAACGAAAATAAGTTATGTAATTAAACTAATAAGCGCATACGACAAGAACATTATTACGCTTCAAGACGTTAGACCTAGTTACAAATGTTATTCCTCATAAGTGTGGTTTGTTAATTAAGGATTGACAGATTGTGTTACAATATATGAACAAAATGGTCAAGTGTTTTTATTCTGAATCGATTCGTAACAAGACTACAATGCATGTGTTACTCGTTTCTGGTAAATGTAAACCCAACATGATATTGCGTCGTAACAATTATGTTCCTCAAACTCTTAATTTAGTTTCGTTGAGCTTTGTCATAAATTGAAAATTCATAATATTTACACATCTCAAATATATGGGTTTGTATGACAAAAAAAATATCTAATAAATGGAAGTTCTGTAATGATAATTATTGCATTATTTTCAGTACTTCAATAATGAATTTTATGTACTTTTCAGTCGGTTATGAGAGGTGGGTGGGGTTAATAACTAACTGAAAAGGTATGCTAGACTCATAGGGCCTGCTCTGCGTGGTGTTCGACTTCAACAGCGGGTTGTGCGTTTTGCTGTTCAGTTTGCTGTTGCTGTTGGTCTTGCTGGTTCTGCTGTATTCGCGATGGAAGCGGCGCTGTTTGGCCTAATAACGAAAACATGTTATAAAATTGTTTCATGAGTATTGTTTCATAGCAAACCATGGTATTGCTGTAAAATTAATACTTCAACGAAGTACCATTGATGATAACTTTATTCGAGTCATAAGTCTGAGAGCCTAGGTTGTTACCATATATTTTTTTATAAAACTTAGTGACGGCACAAACCAGTCACGCGCCTGATGGTAAGCCTGTCCATAACAGTACCACTCAGAACTGTAAATTACAAAGATCTGAGGGGCACTGCCATTGCGCCTGACACCCTGAGACATAAGTTGACAAGTTACATACGGCTGTAACTTCACCAGCACCTTTACCCTTTGAAACCGGACCGCAGTAATGCTCATACTATTGCTTGGCGGCAGAAATAGGTAAGCTGGGAGTACTTTCTTGGATAAATTCTTTCACAAGGAGCTCTACTGCTACTAAATCATTAAATCAATTCCGGTCCCATCTTTTGCTCCTTTCTTAAATTAACAATCGTGTCATAAATTATTTTTGTTCGTCGGCGCTGTTGAAAACATATTGCCCCGAATTGCCAGTGACATCTACACATACCATATTTGTCGTGTATTCCTCTGTGCCGCTTGAGCGCAAACCGATCGGCAAAGGCGGCAGGGCAAATGTCGCATTTGAAAGGCTTCTCCCCTGAATGCACTTTCGCGTGATTCTTGAGATGTGCCGCTTGACTGAATGCCGACCCGCATTGTTCACATCTAGTAACGTAAAAATTAAACTTTAGAATAAAAACTATATCTTTCGCCATTTTCAGTGACATGTCAATAAATAGTTTTGAATTTGTAAATAATGAAATCTATAATAAATTCTTATCTAGATATTTATAAATTCAGGTGTCAAAGTAATTTACTTCAATTTTTATCTAAATTTCATATATATTTATATTTAGATCCTTTGTATGACGTTTAAAATAATTAGGTGAGTACGTTATGAACTTACTTATAAGGTTTCTCGCCGGTGTGAATGCGCCGGTGATTCCATAATGTTGCGTGTCGCGCGAACCCTTTGTCGCATACCTGTTAAGATTATTATTGGATTTGTTACAGATTATGATTTTCATGAAACTAGATTCTTTTAGAATCTGCAGACACCATATGAGAGTAGAGCATGCTTCATTATTTAATTCTGCAATTGCAAATAATAACCAAATATTATGTCTCCCAAGTCTGCCTAATTGATATTTATTATAACTATGTTTTATAGCTATAGAACACAAATCTTATTTTTAAAATTAAACTAAATTGAAATATTTAACCTGAATGTAATAAAAATAAATTATACGTAATGTAATCATAGTAATAATTCCACATCGCAAAGACTGAACTTGAAAATTTGTAACAAAAAATAAAAATAAAATCTGAGCAAGTACGAGTTTCATAAGTATCTAGTAGATTTATTCAACTTACTTCACAAACGTAAGGTTTTTCGCCAGAATGTGTTCTCTCGTGGTTTTTCAGATGTGGCGATTGAGAAAACTGCATACCGCACGTGTTACATCTGTAAAGAAGAATGGCGTGTAATGGGTTACTTCATATTTAGCAAATCGTTCTCAGGAAGTCGTAGTGGGAGGTTATTGGTCAGTTAACTAGGGTCGGCAGACTAAAGCACATAAGTCAAAAATGTGTTTCTCGTTGTTAATAATTATAATTATATATTTTTTTGTGTTGTTTTTAATGTTGGAAGTTAAATAACCTCTAGAATAAAGTACAAAATTTATGAAGTAACAAATGAATTTGACTTATGTGTTTTAACCAGTAGATGTATTAATTTAAATGAATGATGTTGGATTTTGACTTATGTGCTTTAGTCCGCCGACCCTAGTATTATAGATATTCCTTGTGGTGTGCCTCAGGGATCGCATCTTGGACGCCTCGTACGTAAGGTATCGTATATCGATATTGCTAAGTTTACATGGGAGCGTTTTAAAGTTCTGAATTCACTGAAAGAGTGATCATCTAATAGATCATGAAATCCTAGTTATCGGTTACATGGCGGTGATATGGCTGTTGTTATCCCAAATAAAATAAAATAATTTAAATAAGATACCAATATGAGTTGGACCAACTCAACATATATAGCAACACCTACTTGGCATATTTTTTTGTTGCATTACTTGACATTATAGTTAATATTCTTACATTAAAATAAAATTCGTATTAATTAAATTTTTATTGAATTGATATTCAATTATTTTTTGTGAAATTACTCCACTAGTTTGGTATTATTATTAATACAAAGATCGAACACTCAGAAAAAATTCCTTCGATCCGGTCGGATTCGAACCGACGTCTTCTTGCATACCGTGCCAGACGCTATACCAACTAAGCCACGGAACGAACCAACGGACCTCACGAATTTTTCTATGTGCTTGCGTCGTGTCTTTGTACTTGGTCTTTCAACGACTTTTTAGTCGTAAAATTCGTATGTTTTACAATCCAAACATGCATAATGCAGGTGTTAAGCATGTTTAGATTTAAAAAATCGAATAAATAAACAGATCTATTCATTAGTGTTAATAAACTTTTATGAAGGGATATCAAGATAGTACTGAAGAAGTTATTATTTGTGCACTGAGTGGTCACATAGAGTATTAGTAAATACGTGGGGCGCACTATAAGTTTCCGGAATGAATAAGAAAAAAATACTATAAATGGTCAGAAATTAAGTTATTGTTTCTCAAAATATTCTCCGTTAGCGTTAATGCGCTGTTTCATACGAGTGTGTGAGTGAACCAATTTTGAAAACATTTATGTCACTCCTCTATTTTTCATACTCTTCGACAGCCTCTTCAGGTGATAAAAATTGTTGACCGCGTAACTGGTTCTTAATTTTTGGAAATAAATAAAAGTCACAAGGTGCCAGGTCGGGACTGTACGCAGGATAGCTCATAAGATCAACGTTGTTCACCTTCAAAAATTCATTTGTCTGTCTGGCCGTGTGAGAACTGGCATTATCGTGGTGCAAGATGATACGGCGTTTACGGTTATTTTTACGGAGTTTGTCAATAGCTTCCGGCATACAAATGGTCGTGTACCAATCACTATTCACGGTACACAGATTCTCCAAAGCAACAGTAGCTCCGTGTCCAGTTTTATAAAAAAAGAAACAATCATCCGCTTAGAGGCACTATGCACGCGCGCCACTTTGATCGGTTTCGGCTCATCTCGAAAGACCCATACGCTCGATTGCTGCTTTGTTTTGGGATCGTATCTATAAATCCATGTTTCGTCACTATATCCCACACCAAATTTGACGTCACTTCGTTGAATCTGGTAAGCATGGCATTGCACCAAGTGACGCGATTCGTTTTTTGAACCTCAGACAAATTTTGTGGGATCCACTGAGAGCACAACTTTATGTTCGTGTAGTATTGATTGTATTTGACTCATGGCTATGCCTAAAGATGCCCGCATCTCATGGTATGTCACATATCTATTTTGTTTTGATCATACGGCGCACAGCATCGATGTTTTTGTTGTTCACAGCAGTGGACGGGCAACCATCACGAAATTCGTCACTGAGATGGACACGACCGCGTTTGAATTCTGCAAACCAGCTATAAATAGTCGTCTTGCATGATACTTCATCGCCAAAAGCTGTTTGAAGCCGAGCGAAGCTCCGCAGAGCTGTTAAATTCCACTTAAAGTCGTAGAAAATCATCATAAATCCATGGTGATGTAGACAACCAATTTCTAGAATGACGCCACAATGTAAAAACAAATGAAAAGCAGATGAAACAAACTGTATTCTACAGCCAAAGAGTTCCATTTTCAAATGTTGTAATTACTTCTTAAATATTGTTTATGTAAGTGGCCAGTTCCGGAAACTTATAGTGCGCCATATGTACATATATAATTATTTTGGCGCAAAGCATTTGCCATCGGTTCAACACAATAAGAAAAAGTGCCATGTCTGTAAAAATAAGCAATTCAAAAAAGTTACACCGTGACTAACATTTTTTAGATTTTTTAAGAAGTTTCGTTTGTACTGAAAATACAATAAAACATTGTATTTTCAGTTTCATAATTATTTGTTATCTTTATAGGCTATATAGCTAATTGTCAATAAATAAATACTATTAACTGTTTTTTGAAAATTTTAGTTCGAGTTCCCAATCTTTAAAGTATTGTTGATAAATTATTGGCATGAATGTTATTGCTATTTTTTAATGCAATTTTAATCATTTTAATAATTTTATTGACCGAAAATCGTAAAATAACTTTTAAATAGTGCCAAATTTGAATTAAATGCAATCAATGAAAATGTATGAATACAAGATATGTTCCAATTATGTTATCAAATTATAAACTCACCTTTTTAATTTCAATGATAATGACTAGACATGAGATGTAATTGTGTCGTACGACAAATTGTACAGTATGATTGAAAAGTTGCCGATATTACAAAACAACGTTGTAAGTATAATCAATAATAAAATTAATAAAAAAAATATAATTATTCTCATTTTGAACCTAATCAATAGTGCTTGAATGCTTCCAGGATAGTAAATCTGTCTATTACTTTCATATGATTTTGTATGTAGTTCCATCTCGCTCTTGTTAGATGTCAGCTAGCCAGTCAGAGGCAATAATTAACGTTTAAAAAGTAAAACTCATTATCCAGGCATGCCATTCCCGTTCAAATTTGTATAGGTCATGATACGAATTTAAGCAATTCAGTTTTACCACATAAAGTGAATTGCTTGGAACTTGCCTGGCCGCCTATAAGCTCATAGTAGGCCCCCTGGACCCTTTCAAAGAATTCCAGGTCTAGTACGTTGATAGCTGGCACCATTATCGCTTTCGCCGCACCCAGAAGCTGGCGTCGAATAGCAAAGTACGAATAATAGATCTTGTCAAAGCAATTAGATATGCTGCATAAATATAAAAATGTAATAAATAGCTTTTAATACTAGGAAATAGTTTTCAATGTGTTACATGTATACATGGCTCATCTACTCTATAGGCCATTTATTTTTTTTATTTCCTTAATAGATTCTAGTGAGTGAATGTTTCTCAACGAGAAAGATTTCCGAAAATAAAAATGAAATATATTTAGTACTAAATTAACTTCTCCATAAGCTTTGGGTGCAGAGAAGATTATCCTAAACGAAAACCACTATTACCTCTCATCTTCGCTCTAAAGAGGACCATGCTATATGGGGACATACACTCCGAAAACGTAACAAAAGTTAGTAGTACAAAACTCACCTGTAAGGCTTTTCGCCTGTATGAATTCTCGAATGGTTTTTGAGATAGACAGCTTTAGCAAATGCAATACCACAGATGCCACATTTGAAGTTTTTCTCTCCAGAATGCAGTTTCTTGTGCGACCATAACGAGGAATACCGTGAGAAAGATCCTCCGCAAATGTTGCAGTGGAATGGCTTATCAGCATTTGACTGGTTCAATTTGTTCTTGTTACCACCAATGAAGATTATGCCTGAACCATTGCAGTTTTGACATTTTGTTACTGATGCCAGACTTCGTTTTTTCACTGGGTGATGGCCCATTACTGTTAAAGAAATGCATATATATATAATGTGAAATAAAGTAAACATTGTATAAACAGAAAGTAGAATCATGATAGACTATAGAGTATATAATTATGTAAGTACAAAGGAAAATAACAGTGTGGATTGCTCAGACACACATTTCTAAAAAGATAATAGCATTAATGCCAAAACTTTTATAAATAAATAAAATAAATAACGCACACACTCAACATAGCCCCGCACTAGGGAAACCCTGTGTCGCGGGTGCCATGGACACACATATAGACAACCACAAATTACACCCAAACTCACGAGAGAAATAAATGTAGGCCATACAAACATTTCTCCCGACCCGGGAATCGAACCTGGGACCTCTGCGTGGCAGTCCGGCATGGTAACCGTTCGGCCACGGAGGCAGTTATGCGAGCGGCCTGTGGGTGAAGTATATGCAGAGAACCCTGAATACATTAAGGGTGCAATATAACAACGGTTTCAGGATGATAATGAGGCTGCCGCGACGCTGTAGTGCATTCGGCAAGTTCATAGAGGCGCACACAGATGGCTTTCATACCATTATTCGCAAGAGGGCTCCCGCGCTCATGATGCATCGTATCGCTAATAGCATCGTAGCCGTTGTTGCCCACAGGCTGGGCTGCCCCTACCAACAGCAATGGGTGCGAAGGGTAGTGGTCTAGCTGTAGCATTTCTCTAGCATTAACTAATTTTGTATTGTACTAAAAATAGTACTTTTTTTACTGCATTTCTAACATTACTATGGATCATGGTCTGATATAAATAATTCTATTCAATTCTTTTCTATTAATATAAATAAAATTTGAAAGATATACTTGACACTGAAGGGTCTGTTAATACTTTTAAATTTATTTAATTGTTATTTGCTCCTATTACCTTGAATGTTTTATTTATACAAAAAACAAACATGGCGTAGTAGTTCTCACTGTACTTACAAGGGTAGTTTATAAGTTTGCACAATAGAATGATTAATATTATTGTAAAACAAAATATAATATCAGACAATCACTCTAATTGCCTGGTCTCAAACTAAGGAATTCTCTGTACAATGGAGCACTACCCAGAACAGATTTAAAAAGTTCATTTCCCAAATCGGTCCTACCGGGAATCGAACCCAGAGTCTTTGAAGTTGAGCCACCGAGGTCCTCATGAAATTAAATCAACTCACAAGGTTTCTGTTGTGTTTGCTGATTGGTTTGCGAGCTGGCGAGTGGATCAGATGCCGGCTGCACGCCGCTCACGCCACCCACTTCAAACTTTACATTGTCTTCAGACGCGACGAAAATCTGCGTTGCATTCACTGTGACATTAACAAAGTAAGATATTAAATTACTCACTTAACTATGCAGGGTTCATTAATATGGACTTCTTATTTAAGGAATTAAGTTTAAAAAGTAAAATTAATTTTATTTAAGGAAGTAAAAAAAAATGAAAAATCTATTTACAAACAACTAATTTCAATTAAATGTTTATTGAATTGATATTCAATTATTTTTTGCGAAATTACTCCACTAGTTTGTTATAATTATTAATACAATACAAAGATCGACCACTCAGAAAAAATTCCTTCGATCCGGTCGGATTCGAATCGACGTCTTCTTGCATACCGTGCCAAACGCTATACCAACTAAGCCACGGAACGAACCAACGGACCTCACGAATTTTTCTATGTGCTTCCGTCGTGTCTTTGTACTTGGTCTTTCAACGACTTTTTAGTCGTAGCGCCATCTATGAGAAATCTATGACAGATTTATCACCCAGTTAGTACCTTTACAGATAGCAGTCCTGGCGAGAGATGCCGCTATTCACTGTATTAATTAAATTTTTATTGAATTGATATTCAATTATTTTTTGGGAAATTATTTAGTTGGTATAGCGTCTGCCACGGTATGCAAGAAGACGTCGTCGGTTCGAATCCGACCGGATCGAAGGAATGTTTTCTGAGTGTTTTTCTGAGTGGTCGATCTTTATATTAATAATTATAACAAACAAATTTCAAGCTGTAATTGACGAAGTTCTCATGGTTTTATAAATAAGAATTTAAAACACAATGCTTGTGACAAATGGCAGCCAAAGTGCCTTTACATAGTGAAACCATAAAACAATAAACATCAATAAAACTTACACTGGGTATTTCTCTGCTGGTCAATAGAGTCTTGTGCAATACAGTTTTCACACCGAATGAGTTTGGGACCTTTTCTCTTTGGATTGTTGGCTATATGACCTCCACAGGTGATGCATTTTTGAACTTTGTCTATGATTATTGGTTTAGCTGGAATTAAATTAAATTTAAAAAATTACTGGCGAGTCTAAAAACCATAATGCTGGTAAATGGGTCAACTTTTATACTGATATTCAGTTGTCCTGTTTTTAAATGTTATTGAAAAATGTTGCCATTCCATTTTATAATTAACAAACAAAAACCATTGACTGTAGTCTAAATCAAATTCCTAGAAATTATAAATGTTTCCCAATATCATATTATTCAGAAAAGAATTAAATAAATTCTGTGTGAACACAGAATACAAAACTTGAAATAGTATTACATAAGCCTGAATATTTCAATAACATGTAAAAATTATTTGTTTGTGTAATGAAAAGTATGGATCATGGTTTTATTTTTATGAAAAAATCTGGTTATGCAACACTGTCAGAAACACAATTTTAGTTTTCATAATTCATGTGTACATCCTAAGCAGAGGTGGCTCGTCCTAAGGAGCGCTGGTACAGTGAACTCCCACTCCCATCCAACCCACCAAAATAAATTTATTAATTATCCTTTCATATTATATTAGTAGCTGCAGTATTTTTTTTATTAATGAATTTAATCTTTCACTTTAATATAGCATAGCATCGTGTTGTTTACAAAGTTCAGTACTGATGAGTGCGAAAGAGAAATTTCTTAATGGCCCGACACGTGAAACAAAAGATTGGTATGAGGAAATTTTAAAAGATTTGAGCGGCGCTCCTTGCAAATAAGCAATCCGTATTTTTTTCGTGCGCATTTCGTAGTGTTGTAAAAATTCTTATTATTCAATCGTTGTTAAGAAGCGTAGTGTTGTTTAGTGGCATTGTTTAAAATGGAACACTATAATGTGAGTTTCATTTTTTATTTAATATATGTGTAGGTAAGTGAACTCCCACTGAAATCTCCCACGAGTCACCTCTGATCCTAAGATATCATAACTAGGATTACTATTGCAAAATCAATTCAGTTAGGGATTATCAAATACCATTTATTTTAAATACATTCAACTGCAATGACACAAATACAAATGTACAGTTACTTTTCTCACCATGATAAATGATTAGAAAAAACTTTACTATTTATTATATAAATTTTTTAAGCTTAACATAAATTATTTAAGCTTATGGTTTTAAAACCAGCTAGGTGGGTCCAAAACATGGTCCCTTTCTTAATAAAACATGAGATAAGTTGTACTGGGGCCTTACCATGAACTCTTATTACAATTCAGGTTAGGACCTAACTGAATCCTTGTGTGACGGACCTACATGAAGTGTATATCACCATCCCGCTTTTTTGTCATTACAAACCTATACTGAACTGTAATAAGAGTTCATGGTAAGGCCCCTTGTAGTGATAGAAAGATTTTTTTTGTGGCAATCGGGTTAAAGCAAAAACATAACTAATAAACATACTGTCTTGCATCTGCACATGATGCTGCTGTTGTTCACTATGATCTGCAGAAAGAATCTGTATATGTGGAGGCATGGCTACTTCATTACTAGCACTCACTCCTGTGGCCACTACTGTTATATTGCTATCTGAAATTAAAATGATAGTTTTTAGTATATAAACATTCATTTATTGCTCATACAATGACAACCATTAGATGTACTTAAATATTACATGTTATCTAGTTAATGATAGAATAAACTGCTTGATTTCCAAACATACAAAACATATTAGTTTATAATTTAAACTATATTTACCTGTATCTTGAGCATGTATTCTTTTGTGAGCATTTAGCAAAGAAAGGTGTCCAAACATAAGACCACACACATCACATTTGAAACTAATGTTCGATATCGTATTCTGAATACCATTTGGGGCAATTTGCATCTGATTGACCAGTGCATAGTTGTATGAAAATGGTTGTGCGATGTAGCATGTCTTGTCATCACTGGTGGTAAGATGTGCAATGTTCACACCACCAGCAACAGTGCCACCTGCTCCACTTGCTGTCCCAGTATTTATCTTGCCAATCATGTTGACATTTGTTGTGTAGCAAAATGTAGGGAATTCCTGCAAAATAACTTGTATGAATACATATATAAAAGCAATAGAGAAACACCAAGAGAAGAAGATGAGAAATAAGAACACAATCTCTTTAGACAATGCTATTCAAGCTATTTTAAGCCAGCATTTATGCAACATTAAATTTTTTTAAATTCTGTTCCATACAATTCAATGTCAAAAGACTCAGTATTGGCATTGACAGTAGATTGGTGAAATTAATTTTAGTTCTAGGCTTAGGCTAAGAAATCAAAAATGTACCTGGGTTTGCTGGTCTTCTTGCTGTTGGTTGACCTCCTCTTTATGATCTGCATTCTCCAAATTGTTAGGATTTGATTTTTTAATAGTATGCTCCTGATACTGAAGAGTCGGCACTGTGCCGGTCTGCACAGCGTTTGTAGTGAACATCATGCACACCTCAAATATTCATTACCAATGTTTCTTCAACCAGAATTGGATGTTTCGTGCACGACACAGAAATCTACTAAAACGAAACGTGTTGATAAGAATTTTGAACATTCCGGTGGGAAAAACATCAAACTCGCGGCTAAATGAACGCGAAAGAGAAACTCCAAAAACATCAAGTGTGAAGGTAACGGGGAATATTTTCTTATCAGTCTACTCTGCTCGTAAAAAGATCACTCGATGAAAGCCGTGTCTCTGTGAATAGAGTCGATATATGTAAGAAAAGGATGACGGACTATCTATAAACGCGCTTCAAGTAAACTGACGCCATTGTTGCACTGTTTCGGAGACACAAACGCAGAGTTCACAGAAAACTGAAGATTACACAAGACTGAAATTGTTTTGGAAGCGATTTTACTGCTTACCTTTTTTATATATTATGAATTTCCAATTGTTATTTCGTATTTTTACATTTAATAAAGGAATTCAAGATATCTTATTTCTGTCTCACTTTTGTGAACAGTTCTCCATCTCACGAAAGGAACGAAATGGCGATACAAACAAAATGGCGGGCGACCCATCCGCCGCCGCAGTTTGTAGAATTGATATTGCTAGAGGTAAAAATGTTCACCAATTGATTGATCAATCAAAATTTTTCCACTTTTTTATTTCAACTAAATATTTATGTATTATGAGATTTAATGAAATAAATTTATTTTATGCATTATAATGATAATATTAGAAAATAGCACAAAGATACTGTATTTCTCAAAATGTGATTTTGTTTTTCGTGGTGTGTGCTCTCCATTCGTTGCACTCTTCCATATTATTATTGACTGTTCCTTTATTCATCACTACGTCAACACTTATTTCGCCATATAGTGATTTTTACGCTTACTGTTCCAGTGTAGTAGTATATCTTGCAGTAGCAAAAGGTCAAGAGCCCTTCAAGCTTTACAATTTACATTTAAATTCAAATTTACGGCGTTTGTAATAAGAACGATGCAACAACGTGTCAAGCTTGATGTCCTCTTTACTGTATGTATGTACTACATACCTTTACATGCTTACAGAATACCTTTTAATTTCCGTCTAGATTACTCCTGCACACGACTGTACGTACTGACAATACAATTGACGCACGAGGATCCATGCCGTAGGTACCCCTTACTTCAGCCTGGTGGGGAACCTAGGAGAAGCTCGGATCTGGCACCGTATAACATTGAATTTTATCCATGAAGACCCAGTCTCGGTCCTGTCTTTGGGTAGAACAATTTTATAAGCGGCGTATAGATCACGGTGAAGCTCGTCCACATAGCCAAACCATAGGTAAAGTCCAGGCTGCTTACTGTTGCCTACACTCAAGACAAAGAGTTAGGGCACGTTCCCATTATGTCGTGACGACAGATTGTCGTGCAGTTTACAGTGTCGTATTTAAATGAAGTTGTTCACATATAGCACGACACGATTAACTGTCGTTCACGATTTTTTATCGTTAGGGCGCGTTCCCACTATGTCGTCACGTTTTATTATTGTTGGACGACTGTCGTGTCTAGCCTGTTCCCATATCACGACTATCTGTCGTGGACGATTTTTTATCGTTGAACGACTGTCGTGACTAGCTGTTCCCACTAGATCGTGATGACAATTTATTGTTTCACGACAGCCTCCTTGTCGTTTGCACGACCGAATCGTTTGATGCACTGCAATCGCTTGTATGTTCTTCTGGAAGCCGGTAGTGTGTGTTCGCTCGAAATGGATGAAGACGAAATTTTAATAATGTGTTACTATTTTAAAATGCGGAAGAGGAAGCAAACAAACCGAAAGTGTTCGGATGCGCGCGCGCGCTTTCGTTTTCTTTTTCTTTTCGCACTCGATTGACTCGTTGCCATCGCCTGGGTCTACTTACAGGGATATAATATTACGGCAACAAGTACCTATACGAACGAGTATGAACTCTACGCAGTGTAGTAAAAAAGACGCTGAAGGTTTTATGACAGTAATTAACAATAGAAAACGGCCAAAGAACTTAAACAAATGCGGTACCGCAGTGAACAAGCTAATTACTGGTCGCCGAAATGCCCTTACGGTGGTTTTGGCAATGATGTGGAGAAAATCTCAATTTCCTAATGTGTCGATCGTTGAGTGTAACTCTAATAGAATTCAGGCCATACGTATTGTATTTGATGACTTTTGAAGATTTACATGCCGACGGACAAAATATAGACAATTTGTCAGATTATACGGACTGCTTGGCTAGTATTAATGCCATCGTTGATGAAGTTGGTGCTGCAGGGGTGTACGTGTTGGGAGATTTCAAAGCGCATCCGAATGCCTTGTTTGGAAAGGAACTACAGCTTTTTCGCGAGGAGCATGAATTTATATGTGCTGACATCCAAGCTCTGGGCGCTGAATCCAACACGTAAACCTATATAAGTGACGCACACGATTCACGTAGATGGCTGGATCATTGTATGGTATCGATGGCTCCATGGAAAACCATATTATCTGTGAAAGTAGTGGCCGGTGTTTTCTCATCTGATCATTTTCCACTGCAAATAGTTTGTAAGCTAGACGGAATTAGTTATTTGTAAAGTGCGGAATGTAATATGCCAAAAAAATGATGAAAATCAGATGGGGCTCCCGGAATTTTTGTCAAATTGAAAAATACTACGAATTTTGTAAATTGAAATTAGAGGCTGTGATTGATTTTACGCGTTGTGTAGAATGTGAGACGAATGAGTGTGTTGAATGTGTGAATGTTAATTTACATAGAAGGTTTATTGAAGGTTGAATACACCTTAGTGTTACTGTTAGTGTAGACATAGTGTTTTATGTACATGTTTTGCAATCCGGTGCGATATGCACTTCTGTTTTGCGTCATAGTGGTGGAAATAGACGCAGCGTAACAGGATAGAATTATCATGTAAGGGAGAGTCATCTAACGGCACGTCTATATTATGGTTGTTGGGTTATTGCTGGCCGGCCAACCACAGGCGAAATACACGATAAAATGTACACAAGCCGAAAAATCTTTAAAAATAAACTAAGATGGTGTTTAAGAAACGAAAATAAAATTAAAATGGACATTTTGGCTACGCATAAAATAAAAATTTTATAAAATTTTGGAATGTCACAAAACAGTTTAATTATAAACAAAGTGTACCTGCGTCCGTGGATGGCGATGCGACTTCTAACGAATACAGGTTAGAATGCGGTGTTCGCCAGGGGGGTTGGACTTCTCCGGATCTTTTTAATGTTTACATAAATGGGTTCATCGGCGAGTTGACGAGCACCAAGGTCGGATGCCATATGGCGAGTGTTCGTGTGAATAACCATCAGACTACACATTTTTGTTCGAAAATCGCCTCCAGTGCAACGGAACATGATACGTCAATATGTAGCTTGATGTGCTGGCGTGTGTAATTAAACGTAGATCTTAGATATGGGAGACAGAAGCCCAAACTGAGTAAGCCCTGTGCTATGGCACTCCAGGTTCCCCCTCTCGGCAATAGTATAGTCAGTATACAAAATAAGGATATACAGGGTTACAGGAAAAGTCGTGCTAGATCCGTTAAGGGCGTGGAGTACTCATCATTTCTGACTTATTTTACTATGAAACACCCTACCCTAAACTTAACCCTTTTCGAAATATTTGCTTTTTATTTTTTTTATTCAAAATTGCCGATTTTTAGGCTACTAAATTTAATTTTGTTTATTTTGTGTGTCTTATTATGATAATTATTGCATTTTTACATGTGTGATAAGATGCTTTAGGACCTCAATCATTAAAATAGTGAATAAGTTAATTCAATACGCCGTAGTAGAAAAGAGAAAGTTAAGAAATTAAAAAAAAAATTAGAAAGTTTATTTTTCTCTAAGGGATATCTAAAAAAAATATTATCAGTTGATCGGCAGATAAGTTATAAAATATCTACGTTTCATCAGCTATCTAACAAGGTATAACAATCTAGGGTTTTATTTAAATGCATTGAAAAAACTTAGTTTCATAGGCGATAGTGGAGGAGAAAATTAATACTTAGCCCTAAAAAGTATAACAAAACAATAGGTAAGCATGCGAAGTATTTATTAAATCAGGTTTTCACACAACTTTTTGTTATTTTACAGTTCATGTTCAACATGGCCGCCTCTGTTTCTAATACATTGTCGCATTCTTCTACGGAGACCAGTCTTCACTACTCCAGTGATCAACGTTGTCCTCATTTGATTTGCTGCATCCACAATCCTTTCTTTTAACTCTTCCACAGACGAAACTGGATTTGACTCGCTGTAGACAAGACTTTTCATGCGCCCCCACACATGAAAATCCATGGCCCACCTCGTCCTATCCATTTGTTTGGATAATTTGTGTCCGGCCGTCTCTGACACTTCTCCTGAAATGGGCAGGGCAGCCATCATGTTGGAACCACATGTCCCTGATCAAGATGAGTGGCAGATCATCCAGCAAATCACTCAAGTCTCCTCTCAAAAAATTTTCGTAACTTTCCCCATTTAGATTGTCCGGGAGAAAGTAAGGTCTAATCAAATGATTGGAGATAATACCCATCCACACATTCACGCTGAATCTTCGTTGGGAACCCTTCACTCTTTTCTTATTGGGATTCCTAAGTTCTTTTGGGGCCCAGTAATGCGCGTTGTGATAATTAGTTATGCCATCTTTATCAAATTTGGATTCATCTGTCCACAAGATATTTCTTAGAAAATCTGGGTCTTCTACGTCAGCATTTAGCATAAATCTGCAGAAGTCCAACCTTCTCGCGGGGTCTCCTTCTTCAATAGTGTGTACCGGCGTGTAATGGTACGAGTATAGGCCAGCAGTATGCACTGTAAACCACACTCTCCATTGCGAAAGTCCCAGATCACGGGCAACAATATTAGTGGAAGTAGTCGGATCCGCTCGAAAGCGTTGCACTATCTCATTGTCCTGTTCTTCGTCGTCATTAATTCGTGGTCTGCCCATGTCTGTATTTCGTCTCAAAATAGAGCCAGTTTCTCGAAGTCTCCGATAAACTCTGTCAAAAACAGCCACATCCGGCACTCGACGACCGGGGAATCGAGCTATGTATTCGTTGCGAGCTTGCGCAGACACACAATCGCAGTATCCGTAACAAATAAGCATATCAGCATATTCCTCAGGTGTGTACGACGTCATCTTCAACACTTCCGTAGCACAAGTACAAATCAAAGTCCGGTTAACAAGCACAGTAGTCACATATCGGAAAAAACAGTCCAGAATCACAGCCAAGTCAAGAAAAAGAGCAAAACGATATCACATCTACTATGTACGAAGCACAAAAGCAGACTGACAAACAAAACAATATCCCGTGATATCTCTACAATATTTTTTCTTTCATTCGCACCTACATAAACCGTCGCTTGTCTCACTCGCACGGTGCGTCTTAACTTAAGGACAATAGGCGCGGGACCGTTAGAACTGCTACCTGGAGCGTCCCAACTACTTTTTTTTCCACGAAATGCAATACAAATCCTAGATTGTTATACCTTGTTAGATAGCTGATGAAACGTAGATATTTTATAACTTATCTGCCGATCAACTGCCATAATATTTTTTTTAGATATCTCTTAGAGAAAAATAAACTTTCTAATTTTTTTTTAATTTCTTAACTTTCTCTTTTCTACTACGGCGTATTGAATTAACTTATTCACTATTTTAATGATTGAGGTCCTAAAGCATCTTATCACACATGTAAAAATGCAATAATTATAATAATAAGACACATAAAATAAACAAAATTAAATTTAGTAGCCTAAAAATCGGCAATTTTGAATAAAAAAAATAAAAGTCAAATATCTCGAAAAGGGTTAAGTTTAGGGTAGGGTGTTTCATAGTAAAATAAGTCAGAAATGATGAGTACTCCACGCCCTTAACGGATCTAGCACGACTTTTCCTGTAACCCTGTATAGGAACAAAACTCTTAGCGCTCAGTTACACCAAGCGAAAGTTTTCGCGCTGCGACCGACCAGTTACCACGCCTTCATGTATGTTTAATGGCGAATTTGAATTCTATTTACTAGGCAACACTTAAATTTATTCTGAATAATACAACCGCCCGCCGCGCAACAAGGTACTCTTTGCGCGGGCCGCCGCGTATACCAAACTCAAGCCACACTCGCCCGCGTGCCCGAGACTCTCATAACCGACTTCAAAAAAGGAGGAGGTTTTCAATTCGATTGTTGTTTTTTGTATATATGTTACGCAATAACTCCGGTATTTGTGAACCGATTTTCATGATTCTTTTTTTGTTGGAAAGGGGGTACTTCCATAGTGGTCCCATTTTATTTCGAAGAGAATCATCCACCTCTAAGGGTGGCTGTTCACGCATGAAGATTCATTTTTATAAATAGCGCCTAACTTTAATTTAGGAGCAATTATTTTAATGGTTGATTTTGCTATTTCTCCAATTCAAGGCGTTTTTCCGCTCCTGAGAACCGATTTTTATTATCTCCAGTGTCAAGTCCTGTATAGTGGCGAACCAGGCGATATTTCAATAAAACTAAAACAGATAACAACTTTAGCAAGAAAACAGTACTATAAACAATCTGCCTATCTCTACAATAGAGTTAAGTGGCTACAAATATGAAACTATGACACACACGCACGCACACACCCGCAAACACACACACACACACACACACACGCGCGCGCACGCACCCACGCACGCGCACACGCACGCGCACACGCACACTTCTTTTGAATAATTAAGGCTTCATTTACATTGCGGCGGTACGGAATGGAAGCGAATTTTTGTAACGATTTTGTAACAACATACGAGTGGCATAATGAATAAGAAACTAGATGCGAGCCAAAATCTTCTGGAATTATCGCGCATGCTCGAGAATGCTCGCGCAATCCGCGCAGTCCGCAGAAGATTTTGACTGGAAAATATTCATTTATTTATAGTACTAACAAACTGAAACAGAGTAACAAAATAATAGGATATTTCAATGCCCAAATCACCACACAGTTGTACTGGCCTAACAGATATTACCATTTCACATATCAATGTTATTTGTGTTCTGTCCTCATAAGAGTGTCAATAATATTCTTCTTTTCATGTCAAGCAAGACTAGGTTTAGGACATTTTCTGGAACAGTGGCTCGAAAATGAAGATAATCATTGTCACATAGCTTTCATTATAAAAGTGCATTTCACCTACAGCCTGAATACTTATCTTTCCACTCAGATTAATAAATTAAACTTAGAGACTATAATCGCCAACTTTAGACATACCAAAGAGAGTAAATACTTACTTTAAACCTTTATGCGTCTATATATACAGCGTGATTTTTTAACTGAGACAGTGTGAGGAAATCCTAAACCATGGAAGATCCTAAGGAGAATGTGTGATAACAAACTTGACTAAAAATAGTTGAGTTCTTAGGTTTTCGCGATTGTTACACATAGGAAATGAAACTATTTTTCTGGATTCAAATCGCGTATATTTGTTTTTTCAAACAAACCGAAGTTTCGGGCCCTTTACAGGTCCCATACGTGTCAACCGTGACCATGCGATTTATATACGTCAAAATAGTTTCATTTCCTAAAAATAATTGGTCAAGCATGGGATAAATGACCATAAAAATTATAAATAATAATATTTTTTTTAATGCTGATTGACTCAGTTTTTTGTAAAGACATTTTCATTGTATGAGAAGAAAAAATCAGGACAGCAAAAGTAGGTCAAATTTAATAAAATGATTTTTCATTAATTTGCTTGTGAAATAAAGATACTTTGACTTTCTGTCATTAATTAGTAATAGTAGTAATATTGTTAAGTGTAATGGCTAAAGCAAACAAGCAATTGTTCCAGAAAGCTATTACTCCAGCAGTGCTTGAGTATGAACTAGTAGAAAGACTAGGTGGTGTTTTGTGTGGAGAGTGTAATATAACTTTTCATGTCTCTCCCGATTCCATGGGTTCATTTGATTTAATAATAGTTCCCTCATCTAGCTGTGGTGGAGTGGTGATATTTAATTCAGGTATTATAGCGTCTAAGGCTTCTTGTACAGAGGTAAAACGCGCAGGCTTTATATCATCATCTAAGTGCTGTGTTTCACCTTTCATACTATCCTCTGAAACATATAAAAATAATTAATGCACCACTGCTAGTTTCCATAGTTGATGCTCATTACTATTTTAATCACAAACAGCAGTGGCTTATATTATTATAAAAATTACCTGGACCATCCCTTGGTAAAACATAAGCATGATCCATTTTCAATAATTTTCTGGTTTTACAAACATATTTCAGGTTACTTTCGGCCAGTTTATCAAACAGAGGATCCTCACAATGTGGAGATGGGTCTTCTTCAAAAAACATGTATGTTCCTAGTGCATTTTTGTAACTTCCTGAAATAAATTTTTCATTAATAAAATAAATAATATAACCTTGATTTATTGGTTTGGACAGACATAAAAGATATTTTTTGCTTAACAATATTTTACAGAATATACCCAATACTGCGAACCCAAAAATGCAAAAACAAAACTTGAAACCTAACTAAAACTGAGAAAACACAACTTGTAAAGGAGAAGGGTCATAGCCTAAAGTAAATTAACCCAGTCCCGGCGCAAAAGAAACCTATCTCAGAATGTTGCTTCTTTGAGGTAAGTAAATTCTGTATAACTTTTTGTTTCCAATATCAGTGGCTAACATGTCAATATTGCCTTTTGTTTTTACTCAGGTGTATAGAGGTAAGTAATGCATGTTCATGTATAAAAAGCCTACTACAGTTTTTGTTCTCTATTGTCCAAAAACTATTGGAAGTAAAAGTGACAAATCACCTGTTTTCTCCATTTTACTTTTTATTTTAGGAATAATAATAGTAAAATGGAGAAAACAGAAATAATAACCAATACCCAAGGTCGTATTCCAGAACTCTACTCAATGCTCAAGTCAGGACTTGAGTATGATTTCTAGTGCTTGAAATCATACTCGAGAACTCTACTCAATACTCAAGTCCTGACTTGAGTATTGCAGTGAGCACTGAAAATCATACTCAAGTCCTTGCCATTAAAGTTGTATTTCCAGTGCTTGAAATCATACTCAAGTCTGCTCAAGTCAGGATTTGAGTATGGTTTAAGGCACTCGGGATCATACTCAAGTCCCTGCCATTAGGGTCGTATTTCCAGTGCTTGAAATCATACTCAGATCCTGACTTGATCATTGAGTACCTACAGTTCTGGAATAAGGCCCTGAGGGTCGTATTGTAGAACTGTATTCAATGCTCAAGACAGGATTGCACTGGCAACACTGGAAACTAATACTAAGTCCCTGCCATTAGGGTCGTATTTCCAGTGCAATCCTGACTTGAGCATTGAGTAGACCGACCTCACAAATGTTTTTTTTATAGTGTTTACCATTTAATGCACGCGGTTGTAAAAACAAGCAAGGAGTCTTGCTCGCAATATTAGAAATTCTAACCTAATCTTACCGGTAAAAAAGGAGTCATCCATCTGAATAATGGGATTTGGTTCATTTACTCCCAAAATGTGGATACTTCTGTACTTTTCTATGTTAACACTATCTCCGAATTCTGCGTAGACTAAAATCTCTTCTTCAGAGTCCGAGTGAGATTCTACATCCATTTCAGTTTATAATTACTCGAAAACACGGGAACTTCAGGTCAGAAAATAGTCATAATCCCTTTATATTCAATGGCAGAAAACAATAAAGATATAATAAGTCTAGTTTTCGAATTCTTGAAGAATATTTATTTTGAAGAAACTCACTATTATCAAAATCCATTGTTTTTCGACAATGAATGAATGATTGAATGAACTTCACAGGTCGGACTGGATAGTTGGTTTGTTTTGATTGGAGATAACACACACGCACTTAGTTGGCATGGTTGCATTGACTTAGTATTGTAAGTCAATGCATGGTTGGCATGTATGTATGTACGTACATACAACTTAGGTCAATGACTCGTACGAACTATTTATTAAACGACGACACCTCGACGTAGGTCGGTCGTAAGGTTATTGTTTACATGTCGTAATAAAAGAAGAGTAACTGAAGGACTTATGACTGAACCTACAGCGTATTTTATACGGGCCGACGACGTGCGTCATCTGCGCGTATACGCGCCGTCTGCAGACGTTCTGTAGTCATGCGTATGTGTTGCGCATTTTGATAAGAGATACTTTTAATTTTTGTTTTGTTTGTTAATATGTATAGTTTTTTAAATGAAGCAACTACATGTAATTATAAGTGTAAACTCCAGTGGACTATATACATATACGCTTCTTGCTTGCAACGCGATGTTTGCGCGAGTTTTACAGCGCATCTGTGCGTATATGCGCAGATGACACGCTTTTAAGGCGCTGAAACCCGTGTTGTCGGCGCCTATAAAATACGCGGTGTTTAAGCTCATAAGATGAAAGTGCCGACATGACAGCATTCGTTATTAAAAATGTATTGTATCCTCAATCCCACTGAGCATATAACCACTACGTTTTACTCAATCCTGTGTTTCTTTGCTTTGCTAATTTGTAGTTGAAATTTCATTCGGTCCTCCCCACCTTACTGACCTGCTGACATAAAAATTGAATTCAATCGTTCCATTTAATCATTCATTCACCCTACGTATATTTTCGTGTGCGTGCGTGCACGATAAATTTTTGTTTTCGGCATAACTGCACTTTTCATCCCGTTATTTGATATCAGAAACAGTAATATAGGCTATAGATATGTCTGAGTGGGACACGGTCACTATTCTTCGCAAGAAGCCGCCGAAGGCATCGGCATTGAAGACTGAACAAGCTGTCAACGCAGCACGCCGTCAAGGACTCCCAGTTGATACTCAACAAAAATATGGTGCAGGAACTAATAAACAACATGTAACAACAAAAAATACAGCCAAACTTGACAGAGAAACTGAAGAGCTACGTCATGAGAAAATACCGTTAGATTTGGGAAAAATAATAATGCAAGGAAGACAGGCCAAAGGCATGAGCCAGAAAGATTTGGCAACAAAAATATGCGAGAAACCGCAGATTGTTAATGATTATGAAGCTGGCCGAGGAATTCCAAATAATATTGTGCTCGGAAAGATCGAAAGAGCAATTGGAATAAAACTTCGTGGAAAAGAAAGAGGCCAACCACTACAGCCTCCTGGAGGAAAGAAATAACGGGTTCTCTGGGAGGCGAAGACAAGACTCCGATATTAATTGTTTATTGCATAATAATTTATCTCATTTTGCTGTTGAATGTGTTCTTGTATACTAATCATGAAAAAAAATATGATGTAAGCATTTATTTTCCTCAAAATCTGGAATGTTCTAACTGTGATGTGTTGCCATCTATAAAGTTCCAATTTGCGTAACTTGCGAGGGATATGGATGTGATATGCAATAAAGATAGTTACTTGATCTATAACCTGTCTTTTCTTATTGCAATAGTATCTATATATAGCATAAATTATTGTAAAACTTATAACGAACAAACATTAAGGTTATCTTTAGGGACACGGAAAAATTATCGATACTTATTGATATCGAGTACTTTTCCTCCGATACCGATATTTTTGTACTCGATACTTTTCAGGTATCAGTACAGTCAAGAGCACATCAATCTTGACGCTTTGTACTTTAAACCATTCTTATCGTAAGCGGCATTCTTATCGTGTCCCATTCTTATCGTAAGCGGCATAGAGTTGGATTTGTCTTAAGTTTCATGCTTGATGTTCTCTTGACCCTACTTCTTGACAAGTATCGTTTCGAATAGAATACTTAGGCCACCTCATATAATAACGCAAGCCACCTAGCGATTTTTTTAAATGGGAACCCTTATCACAAATTACTTGGCGGCATATCCCATGCCACCATTTGCCTCTTTAAAAGAAGTTTGTTCTTTTTTCAGAAGAAGAGTTTGTTCCCAAAAGCAGGCAATACAGTATCAAAAACGAGAAACAGACCGTTACCAATTATAGTTTTGTTTTTAAAAGATTGTACACGCCAGTACATCAAGCTACTCATTGACGTATCTTGTTCCGTTGCATTGGAAGCGATTTTCGAACAAAAATGAGTAGTCTGATGTGCCGTTGTCTTACAGAAGAGAAGTGGGAAATTGAAAATTTAAGTAACACAAATTATGTGAAATGACGGTTGGTAAATTGATTGAATTAATCAAATTCTTTTATTATTTGTGGTAATTAAAAATCATAAATTAATAAAAAAAGACAAATTAATGTGTTTTATTCTGCCTTTAAGTAGGGAAAATCTGCAGGACAACAGTATCGATACTTTTATGAGTACGATACTTTTTATGCGATACCGTGTCCCTAGTTATCTTTCTACATTGTCGTTGAAGACCACGGACATATATTTAGACATATGTCTGCGTTGAAGACGCAAGTAAAGAAAAGAAAATGCATTTTTTTTCCATCCTAAGATTTTTTTCTCCAAGACCATTGACCTACCAATATAAAGTCAATGTCCAAGACGGAGTGAGAGTGACGTTTGTTTTGTAGGATTACCAATTTTCGCAAAATTTTAAATAGTTAGAGTTGGATTTGTCTTAAGTTTCATGCTTAAGACTGTCAACAATTTTTGTCGATGTAGATTTAGGGTCGTATTCTAGAACTCTACTCAATGCTCAAGTCAGGATTTGAGTGTGGTTTAAAGCACTTGATATCATACTCAAGTCCTTGCCATTAGGGTCGTATTTCCAGTGCTTGTGTTTGCAGTGCAATCCTGACTTGAGCATTGAGTAGAGTTCTAGAATACGACTCAGATCCTGACTTGAGCATTAAGTAGAGTTCTGGAATTCGACCCAGTGTACTAAATTGTGAATAGTGAATATTATGATTAGAACCATAGATTTATGAGTACCTATATACTAAATCTATGATTAGGACGTTGTAATGATTAGATAATAGATACTATACCTCCTAACTGCCTCTGTGGCCGAACGGTTACCATGCCGGACTGCCACGCAGAGGTCCCAGGTTCGATTCCCGGGCCGGGAGAAATATTTGTATGGCCTACATTTATTTCTCTCGTGAGTTTGGGTGTAATTTGTGGTTGTCTATGTGTGTGTCCATGACACCCGCGACACAGGGTTTCCCAAGTGCGGGGCTATGTTGATTGTGAGCGTTATTGATTGTGAGCGTTACTATATTGAACTATGGCCTTTTTCCGGTCTTAATATGACAGTTGCCCGATGCAATCGGAATCAATTCGTGAAATCAGAGCATAGAGGCCATAGAGGCTATCCATCTTATAGGAATCAGTCAGAGGCACGATTTTATTTTCCCAAGGTGACGTCTAATGTGGTTATCACTTTAGGAATCTTAATTATATTCAAGTGAAACAAAATCAACCATTTATTGAGTAAATGTAAGCAATACTCAATCGTTACATGTTTATCAATCAAGATGATTGAATAATTTTGTAAAAACGATGGTATCATCGTCATACATGCCATTATACACAAAAAAATTAAAAAAGATTTTCGTTTCTCTAACCAATCACGCAGCTGCTTTGATCGGATGGAAAAAAATAAGGAAGCTTTGATTGGTTTGAGGCTGTCACTGTCACTTCCAACTGTCGAACTGAACTGTCACTTGGTCACTTGTTCGGTCGGCGCACAGGCGCACAGCACTGTATCCTAGTACAAATACAAATTTGAAAGATAGAATCAAACTCGAACTTGTAAATAAATAATGTGTGCTCGCTTGGTGACCCATTGCAAATAAAAAATTACTATAAAATTGTTGTTTACCAACAATGGCATTTTCATTTGGTTCAAATACTACTACTCAAAACACACCTTTCGGCAATACTGCCGCCAAACGTGAGTTTTTAGCTCTTTTCGTAAGAAAAATACACTACTTCCCATTCCAATAATACCTTTTCGACACTGATTCATTGTTTTTACATTGAACTTTACAAGTAGAAAACTTGAAAAGTGTACAAATAAAAAAAGACTTGGTTTATATGACCAAAGTGATTTCGGAAGTAACCACATGTGTGTTAGTATGTATGGGCATGTTTATGTCTATTCATGACGTGATGACATGATATTCTCTTTTTGTAAGTATTGTACAACATTGCAGCATCATTTGCCTTTGGTGGTACAAACACAGCGACAACTAGCCAAGCTGGGTTTGGTTTTGGCACTAACACAACATCGTCAGGTTTTGGAGCATTTGGTTCTACTACAACAAGTACAGCTACGCCATTTGGTGGGCTAGGAAGTGCTCCAGCGTCAACTGCCCCTTCACTCTTTGGTGGTACTGGATTTGGTGCTACAGCTAATAAACCGGCTGCAGGTGATTGATAGTGACAGTGTTTTTATTTACATTTTTGTACTTGAATTTCATCTCAAGTATAGATGTATAGTCTCTTAAAACTGTATATAATGTGAAGTCATCCAGACAATATTCTTATGATCATGCAAATCGCCAAAGTTGTAATTATCATATACATAATGTAGAAAAATACATTTAATGTACAGATAGACATATATTACACATTGAAGTATCTTGTTCCATTGCACTGGAGGCAATTTTTAAACAAAAATGTACAAATGATGTGCTGTTGACTGTACATTGGGTGTTTAGTGCTTTTCCCAATGTAGTTTGGTGGATCTTAGAAAGACAGAAGTGTAAACTGTGTAACATACAAGTAAAGTTTACTTCAATGAACAAATAGTTAAAGTTTTAAATTAAAACCCCTTTTGTAAAGTTTATTTGTCCACAATGAATAATCAAATAAAAACTTTCCAGGTTTTGGTGCAGGTGGCTTTGGAACTTCCACATTTGGTACAGGTAGTACGTTTGGTACTAGCACAGTGGCACCTTTTGGCAGTTCTGCCCCTACTTTTGGTACTGGTACCAACACACTTGGTGGTAATACTTTTGGAGGCTCGTCATTTGGTGTTGGTACCAATTTTGGTTCAACATTTGGTCCTAAGCCAGCTACAACTGGATTTGGAGGATTTGGTACAGGCCTAGGTACTGCAAATACATTTGGACAGCCACAACAGGTTTGTTTGAAACTTCATTTCATTTTGCATGTGCCTAATATATTTCCAGAAGTGTTGATTTATAACAGAGGCATTTTTTATTTGCCTAAAGGTTTTTTGTTCATTTTTGTATGCATATGTCTTCTTTTTGATTTAGACTGTGTTTCCTCCAATTACCAAAATTATTGTAATGTAGGTTATTAATTAATAAATCATTAACAGCTTGAGTTGGTACATAAATAAGTTTTATTGTGTACATTAAACTTAGGTATTTTTCAATACCTTCATATTAGTTTTGAATTTGTTTTGGTTTTATCAGCAACCACAACCGCAGCAAGGTCCAACATCGGCTCAGGAAGCATTAGTTGCAGCGGTCTTCAATTGCTGCGTTTTTGGAGATGAACGGGATCAGGTCCTTGCTAAGTGGAATCTCCTGCAGGCCCAGTGGGGCACAGGTGGGAGAAAATGTTGTCTGGTACATAGCCAGTAAAATACATGTTGTTAATATTAATGCCGATGATATGAAACACAACCTCAGAAACCTAGGAAGATATGTGACATTATACCACACTTATTCAGCGTAATGGACTATGCTATAGTTAAATGATTGCTCTGCCCTTAGAGGAGATCTATACATGGACTACTTAATAGTAGTAACTCTGTTTGTTTATAGTCAAAAGACATGAAATATACAAGAACTTGGAAGGTGATGATTAACAGTGAAATGAGTACAATTTTTAAGACTTTTGTGTAAATTTATCTAAATGATTTTATTACTAGTAGGAGATGGCTTGCTACACTGATTTGTATTATTTTTCTTGAGCTTTTCCACACTCAAATTTTAACTGTTTATGGTCTCGAAGGGATGACCCGTAAAGTATCAAGTTCGCATTGAATCCCCATTTTTTAAAATAAAAAATATTTCTTTAGAAACAAGTAGATTAAAGTACGAAAGACTTTGTTACAAATATCTTTAATAAAGTATGTATAATATATTTACAGGAAAAGCATATTACGCCAATGCACCACCTTTGGAATTAAATGAGCAGAATCCGCTATGCCGCTTCAAGGCCGTCGGGTACTCCCGGATCGGTGGCCGCGAGGATAAGGAGGGACATGTCGCCATGCTGTTTAATAAGCCTGAACAGGACATTAAGTATGTATCGCCTTTTTACTATTCTAAATCCAAGTTGACCTGTCACTGTATTCCTCTCACTGCATTCTTAGACCTTTTTAGTAGCAGTAGATCTCTTTGTTGATAGAGTTCATCCAGGGAAGTACAAACACTTGGGACTTTTCAACTTATGTCTTTGGGTGACTTGCACAGTGGTAGTACCCCTCAGATCTTTGTGATTTATAGCTCCGAGCTCACTGAATAGCAAAGTCTTCAGAAGCTCCAAAAATTAGCAAGCGGAAAACTCGATACTGGCGAAATCTAAAGCGTAGCGCCATTAAGCAAAAAAAAAAAAGAAGAAAAGCTTGGAGCAGCACTGCAACTGTTATGGGCATGTTGCGGACTGTATCAATGGGTTTGGATGGGTGCTAACAACGAGTGAGCAAGGCCAAAGCAAATGTACTTATAGCTTATTAATTTATTAGAAAACATGTTTAGCTTTCAAAGCAAAACAGCAAATAAAAGGTGAAGAAACAGACGCCAAAATGAATCACATTTAAATTTAGATTTTAAATATAAAACTAATAAAATATATACAAAAGAGATTTGTAGCGTCTGCTGCGCCGCTACAGGGCAGGTGTGTCGCTTACCACCAGGCGCACGACTTGTTCGTTCTGTCACTTGGTATCATAAAAAACCTGTCTTGTTATTAGTTAAAGTAATTGTAAAGAATTGTGACGGTCATAATTACGTTCTTGTTGCATCTAAACATATCCTGTGTATATTTTTTTATTTTCTATCAGTTTAAACGATTAAAACAATTTAAACAACAATATAAATGAAAAAACAATTTATAGACTTATAAAAAGGTATAAGGGTCAACAGTAAATTCAGATTTTAACCAAATAAGTGGCAAATTTAAAGATGTAATGGCAAAGATAATTACTTGCAACTGTTTTGTAATATTTCAGAAACAATCAACAGGCTCTTATGACTTCAATTATGGGCCTGTTGGGAAACAAACCCAACTTAGAAGTAAAAATTGATTCCATCAAGGCAGTCTCAGAAAACAAGACTCAGGTAACTTTTTATATTTACCCATATGTAGAATGTCCGTTATTAAAGTTGAAGAACTTTTATATATTACTTGAAGATTCATGCACCAGCCAATGGTTTGCTGTTTTTATTTAATTTGAGGTGCCAATAAGAAGATTAGTATCAACAATGTGTAATAGAGGTAGGCAAGTTCCATGAACTTACTAACAAACCTCTATCGCCTCATGCACTTGCTTTAATTTTTTTTAACTTTTTACCTGACGATTTTTAAGATATCCCCTGACTGATCGAGTGTGTACGTCGAGGTCTACCTCTCCAACGTTTCCACCCGCGTTCCCTCTAAAACTTTATGTTGTCAATTCACTATAGTTGTCACCAAATAAGAGGCCACATTTGACAGCTAAAGAAGGCGATAGTACGAAACAATAAGCAAACAATTATTAGCATAATTGAGTTTAAAAAAAATACATAAATTTTATTGAAACATTATATAATATGACAAAACATATTTGAAGTACTGTTTTCGCAAGTATTCCAAAATAAAATGCAAGTTTTGAGTTATTCTATTCTATTTCCTTAAAGGCGGCCACTAGGCTTGGGCCAGTGTCAGTTTCGCAATTTTGAGTTCTATTCTATTTCTTTAATGGCGGCCACTAGGCTTGGGCCAGTGTCAGTTTCGTTTAATGTTGTCAGTTAATCCGAAACGTCCTGAAAACAGTTACGTCCTCAAGCTATTTTTTCTTAAATAATAGTGTTGTAAGCAATTAATCGCCGAATTTCACCGAGTCAATTCAATTTCTCGGAAAAATATTGATTTATGTAGTTGTTTTGTTGATGAACATACTTATTTACACTAATTTCTCGTAATAAACCATTTATGAATATTATAAAAACAAAGGATTTGGATACAATTCGGATACATCGGAACGTGGGACAATTTTACGAAAATAAGAGGAATTGCTACAGAATTACAAGGAATTCTGTAAATGAATTGATTTTAACTGAATTGCACGATTTGGCCTTCTAGACCGCCTGAATAATAATGAACCGAAATAATCTAAACAATCACAAACTCTTAAAATTTTGAATCGATTTCTCGTGAAAATCGTATAATGTGATTATCGATATTAGTCCACATCCCTATTTGCGTCACGATGACAAGTGTCGTCATCGTTACGACTTTAAGGGTCGTATTCTAGAACTCTACTCAATGCTCAAGTCAGGATTTGAGTATGGTTTAAAGCACTCGAAACATACTCAAGTCCCTGCCATTAGGGTCGTATTTCCCGTGCTTGTGTTTCAATTGCAATCCTGACTTGAGCATTGAGTAGAGTTCTGGAATACGACCCTGAGATCTATGTATTTTTCATTACCAAACCATACAAAGAAAACATTTCCTATTCTCATCATCTGCCTCCGTGGACAAACGGTTACCATGCTGGACTGCAGGTTCGATTCCCGGGCCGGGAGAAATATTTATATAGCCTACATTTATTTATCTCGTGAGTTGGGTGTAATTTGTGGTTGGCTATATACGTGTCCATGGCACCCGCGACACAGGGTTTCCCTAGTGCGGTGCTATGTTGAGTGTGTTATTTAGTGCGTTGTTTTCATCATCATCATCATCTTTTACAAGGACAACACAGTTCGCAACTTTTAGTACACTCATATACATGATAGATAGTTGCCTGACCCCCTAACATGCCCAAACCGACCTTTTGATTCTAAGAGCCATTTTACGTATTGATCAAACAAAAAATTAACACAATTTCAACATTATTCTATAAGCAACACAGTGGAGTATTGCTTGAAGATGATCAACATATTTTTAAAACCAATACTAAATTTCGTCATTTAACATCCAAGTAAATTGGTTGAGCGGCTAATTGTATCGACTGCCAGTTACAATACCCGTGGTTCGATTCCACGAGCACTATTTTGTTATATTTTTAACAGCATTGTTTCACTTTTTAACGTTAACGTTGACAAATCACAATATTTGCTCACTAGAAATTGCCTAAGGTGGGTCGGTAGATATTATTAATAAAGCGTAGGGTGGGTGTCTTCCGGGCGGCGTCGTGGTGAATGTTCACTGATCTCACGGCGGCGCCGACTCAATCGGCGAGAGGGAAACCCGGGGGGGCTTTTGTGGGGTAGGCCTTCAAGTTTGGAGGGAGAGTCCCCACATAACCCCTGAGTCTCCCTGGGTTCAGGGGTATCCATAAAGATTTCCCCACCGTCAAAAAAAAAAAAAAGGGTGGATGTCTTGTGCATATGACTGTACACAGTTCGGTATTCTATCTTTTTTTTAAATTGATATGAAATTCTGTGTGTGAAACCAGATTTTTAGTAATTGGCAAAAACGTGCTTGATTCTTATAACATAGGATAATGTACATATATATAGAAGACAATGATGACCTTACAAATACCAAGCAAAACATTAATTCGAGTGAGGCGGGCGTGAACAACACGTGTGTTAATAAACTTTAAGACTAATATCGCAAATACGACGCAAGTTCTCATTTCTATACTTCACTTATTCATTTACTCTACTTTCATGTTTTTCCTGCGACATTCAACATGCCCTGGTGAACAGTCAATTGCACTTTTCTCTACACGTTCTGGCTACCCATAAAGTTTGTGTTATTTTTTATTGCAGATAGTAATATATGTAGTAGACAAAGGCGCGGGGGGGTTGCACGTATCAGCGTCGGAGTTAGCGACGTTCATGAACTCGGGCAATGTGAAGAATGCATTGGTAGGGGCTGGGTGTCCGGCAGTCACTGCCGTTACTAGACCGTCGCCGCAGGTGCTCGCTCAGTACTTACAAACGCCACCTCCAGGTTAGTACTGTAAGAGTTATACCCATATCTTGGATACCTTTAAAATAGTATTTTTAGTAAACATACCATATTACAGAAATGTGGTTACCTAGTGGTTTCAAACTAGGTATTTGTTGTACATTGAGTACACGAGCAACAACAGTCGAGAACCGAACCTGAGATCTCTTCATATAACAGAATTCTTGCCACTGGGCCGCCAAAGTTATCAATTAAGTCAAGGTAAATTAGTTGAATGACAAACTTTTTTTGTGGAATATATTATACTTTGATTTAATTTGATTTATAAAATGGATAATACATACATATTTTGAACGATAATTAAATTAAAAATTTTCAAATATATTTAATAATATTATGTACTTTGCAACATTTACTCAAGTAGAGTACAATTTTCTGTATTGAGGTAATTGTATAGTTTTTTCAAACAGGCATGGATCAAAGGCTATGGAAACAAGCCCAGGCCGATAATCCAGACCCAGACAACTACATTCCAGTACCTATGATTGGATTTTCTGAGGTAAGCGATATTGCCGAAATCATACAATACAAACTACAAAACTAGCTGTAAAGGTTCTTTTCCATCGGCGAGTTGAAAGACGAGGATTGACATTTTTATGGTAAAATTTAAATTCTCTCTTAGCGTATCTTTGATGGAAATGTTCTGGATTGACGAGAAGAGGGACACTAATTTGAGAACTAATAATAATCAAAATAAGAAAGATTCGATTATTAAATCAAGTTATAAAAAAACTATACGACCAATAAAAAAAAATCAACAATAACGAAACAAAAGTCAACAACAAAGCATAACATCAACAGCAACGAAAATAAATTTGAACAACTACTCCAAAACCGTTATGTAAAACCATAACTCAAAATAAAAGAAATCGACTCGCATACAAGGTGAATGCACTCGTATTGAAGCGAGATACACAGTAGCCGACTCGATTTCTGCCGTCCGTCAAATAAAATGCGGTGACAATATTTTTTTTTGATATATCGTAAAAAAACCATAACCCAGTTTTGAATATTGAACTTGTTTAATGATGAAATATCATTAAACAATTTCAATATTTTAAAATTAAAATGTACTATTTATTTTTACCCGACTGCGGGAGGTTATGTTTTTCAACTGTATGCATGTATGTATGTCCATTTATTTTTCACGCTGTACAGCCTAAACGGCTTGATGGATTTTGACATAAGAGGTGTCGTTAGATTTATCTTGATTTTAAGAGTGTAATAGGCTATAAAAATAATGAAAATAGTGAGGGGGAGTATTTTTTCTTATCTTTCCAGCTAAATATTTTTGCAGTCGGGGTTTTGTTTTTTAAATAATTTTTAGACTTGTTGTAATCTGGTTGAGAGATTAGTTAATATAGAAAATTTGAAATGTCATGGTAGCCATCCTATGTGAAATGGCCTATAGTGCTGGTTGGGTATTTTTCAGATTATAACGATGGTTCAATATTGCAGTTAAAGTTTCGCGCACGCTGCCAAGCGGAGGAAGCGAGTCTGCAAGCTAGTTGGCTGAAGCGAGCCGCCGAGGAGCTGGGTGAGCTGCGCACGCGTCGCGCCGCCTCCGCCGCGAGACTGGCTCAACTATCCGCACGCCTGGCAGGGCTGAGGCACACGTTGCTGCAGGTACTAACATAACTCATACGAATAAACTTTGTTCAGTCTATGCCTCCATATAACTACCTCCATGGCCGAACGGTTACCATGCTGGTCTGACACGCAGAGGTCCCGGGTTCGATTCCCGGGCCGGGAGAAATATTTGTATGGCCTACAGATCTTTCTCTCGTGAGTTTGGAGTAATATGCCCATGTCCATGGCACCCACGGACACGGTTTCACTAGTGCGTGGTAAATAATAATAATAAACAACACACACACTGCTAGTGTGTGCGTTATTTATTTATGTGACACTGTCCTTGGCCACAGGTTGCATTTTTGGTTACCTTTCGTACATGAACAGAACTATTTTGGCATCAATGTAAGGGAGGTGAGGTAAAGGAAGACCTAAATTAAATTACAAGAGCTCCTAATACAAGAAGAGAAGAAGCGAGTGGATACTTTATATGCTCGTATGATATAGGCTCAATTTACTTAGTCGCATAACGGAATGAAAGCGATTTTTTGTAACCTTAGCATAATTACTTAATTTCTACTGTGTATCGTACAACCTAGATACAAACAAAAAAATAGGTTGCGCGTTTTTCGGACAATGTTCGTGCAGTCTCGGGAATTCCTGTAGGCGTCGGGGAAGAAGGCGAACGCAGTTTGCTGCTCGCCTAATTCCTTAGAGGGGTCAGTGGATAGGCGACGGGGATTCCTTGCCTGCATTGCACGGTCAACGGGGCAACCTGTCTGGTGGGATGGGTCAAACGAGCCGACCATCCCTCTTTAGCGCAGGAATCTGTGACCGTCAGGATGGCTGTTCGCCTGTCGCATCTTGCACTGAGTGTATATTAAAAAATTGCTACCTATTTGCTGCTTTTTCTAAATAATTGCTACCTTTGATATATTCTGGGACATAAAAAAAATAATTGACTAGCCGTTCTGACGTCAGGATGGCTGGTCGCCACTTTGTTCAGCATGAAGGGAGCATATTTTCCAGAAGTATGTATTACCAATAATTGCTACCTATTTGCTACTTTCACGAGTTAAAGGTATACGCTTCTTATCAACATTGGTTAAATAAATATAAACGATTGAACATTTTACGAAGTTACACACGTAAAATTCATAATGTATTTATTTTCACTCACAAAAGCAGCTTAAGACCTAATTAAATCTAAATATGATATCGACTACTTAAGTGAGTGACTGGCTCCCGTGGTAGGTTTAAAAAGCCTGTGTTTGCGTACGAACTGCCAGCCCCGTACACCTCACCCCTTGAACAAGAAAGACTGTCATAGTTATTAAACAAAGATCTAACACAGAAAAAATCCACTTCGATCCGACCAGATTCGAACTAACGTCTCCTAGCAAACCGTGTCAGACGCTATGCAAACTAAGCCACGGAACGAACCAACGAAATTCGCGATTTTTTCCGTGTGCTTGTTGCATTTTTTATTTTTGGTTTTTTAACGACTTTTTTGCCGTAGCGCCATCTGTGAGAAATCTATGAAAATTTTTCTTAGTTGGCATAGCGTCTGACACGGTTTGCTAGGAGACGCTGGTTCGAATCCAGCCGGATCGAAGTGAATTTTTTGTAAGTGTTCGATCTTTGTTTAATAATTATAACAAACTAGTGGAGTAATTTCACAAACTAGTCTAAAAATTATTTAAAAACAAAAACCCGACTGCAAAAAATATTTAGCGTCAAAGATAAAAAAAAATAACTCCCCTCACTATTTTTATTATTTTTTTTATAGCCTATTACACTCCCACAATCAAGACGAATCTAACAACGCCTTATATTGTATGTCAAAATCATTCAAACCATTTAGGTTATACGGGGTAATATATGTATAAAAGGACATACATACATACATAAATACACTCGAAAACATAACCCTCCCGCAGTCGGGTAAAAATAATTGAATATCAAGGTAGTGAAACATCCTGACATTCAATAAAACTTAAGAAAAACTGTGTTTACTTTGTGATTGGCTCAAAAATAATGGACGTGTTACGTATCCTTCAAGCGATTATCAACCGTGTTAAAATTATTGTACAACAGGTGACGGCGCGCCGTGAAGTGATAGGCCGCGTAGGCGCAGCGCTATCGCCTGAAGAAGAGGCAATACGGGCGCGGCTGCACGAGCTCGCTTCGCAACTCGCTGCGCCGCCGTTGTACAATGTAAGTTTAATTGTCATATTGCAATGTATCTCCGTCCGTCTTGTAGCATAGACACACTATGCTTGAACTTGAAAAATTATACTCATAGGAATAGAAAATACCATGGTACGTTATTAGTCCCCCTAACCGCCTAATTCGGTTAAACTTTTAGGCACGTGGGCCTTGTTAACTTTTCTCAGGGTGACGGGTGCGGTGGGCAATGACCATCAGGTCTTTGCGATTTAAAGCTCTGAATGGCACTGCAACTGTTTGGGACAGGCGTGTAGCTTACCATCAGGTGCACGAATTGTTCGTCCCGTCACTTGATGCTACAAGAAAAGCCAATCTTAATTTTTTGAAGAAAGCTATATCAATAATTCTTATATTTACAGTAGTAAGTTTAAAAAGGCACAAGTGACATTAATTGTCAGATTTTTTCCATTATCTCATATTTTGGTATTTAACTGCCTCCATGGCCGTACGGTTACCATGTTGGACTGCCACGCAGAGGTAGGTCCTGAGTTCGATTCCCGGGCCGAGACACATATTTGTGTGGCCTACATTTATTTATTTTGTGATTTTGGGTGTAATTTGTGGTTGTCTACTTATGTGTGTGTCCATGGCACCCGCGATACAGGGTTTCCCTAGTGCTGGGCTATGAGTATGTGCGTTATTATTATTTGAGGTTTATTAAGCTAAAAACATTAATATGAAAGGATTTTAGAGGGTAATGTACGGAACTGTGCCCTTGTTATGACGTTCGATTATAATAACTACTTCAGAAATAATACAAAAAGGCATAACTGTCCATAATTCTGTCCTTTAGTTCTAAGTCAAGTATTAAATCTCACTTTCAAGATAATTGTCCACTGTATGTGCAGTAATTTTTATTTATATTGTTTCCGGCTGCGCTAAAAAAAGAAAAAAGGTTTTTTTTTAATTGGCTAATTAAAATACTATGAGAGTTTTTATATAAAATATGTAATTAACAGAAATAAGCTACTTCGTATTAAAAATATATTTTAACTGTTATTTTTGTTAAAAGAACCTGGAAAATTTTTAAACTCGTTGTTTTCCGAATTTCGAATTTGCTGCTTGTGCATTACGAAACCCACTGACCGGGTTTTTAGTGTCTGGAATGGTTTCTAAAATGTGTGTAGTATATCAATCCGAAGTTCTGACTTTCAACGTTTAGGCCCCAGATCGTGGATGACGTACTGTCCACAACACCATGTTCAGACTTTCTTATAACAGATGTCGAGATAAGCTCATGACTGACAGCATACTCGCCCTAGACAATTTGATCTGAAATGCATTGAATGGAATCCTTATTATACAGTAAGAACGTGAGTCAGAATCACGCTAATAAAACTTGTTTTAAACTGTGAAAATATTTTATTTTGTTTATGTGCTTGTTGTCGTATCTTTGTATTTGGTTTTTCAACGACATTTTAGCTGTAGTGCCATCTATGAGAAATCTATGAAAGTATTTCGTCACCCAGTTAGACACCTTTGCAGCTACCAGCCCTGGCTAGAGATGTCGCTATTAAATTATTTTTATTATAATACACTGTATTTAAATTTTTATTGAATTGATGTTCAATTATTTTTATGTGAAATTGCTCCACTAGTTTGTTATAGTTATTAATACAAAGATTAGATTAGACTTAGAAAAAATTCCTTCGAATTCGACGTCTTCTGGCGCGGTTTACTATTTTTGCGGAAGGTATCCAACTGTGTGACGAAATACTTTTATAGATTTTTTTATATTGTTTGTTTTTAAAATACAAATTCAGTATGTGAAACCAAACAACTTGCACTGTGGGGACCAAACATTTACCACACAATTTTTTCACATTTCACATGATTAAGCTCTACAATTAAGACTCTCGACTCTGTACACGCTGCTGTTCATTATGTAGATTCATTATAAGCTCTTGCGGCGATACTTCGGGGAAGAGGAAACTTATTCATAAACCTACACTTTACGTGCAATCGTACCTAGGGTACTACCAAATGATTAGATACTAAACTAAAATGTTTTCTATTTTTAACCGACAAAAAAAAAAATTCGACATAAGTTTTATAACAATTGATTGTACACGTGATAATGGTATCTAAAAGGTAGGTATGATAAAAAATAAAAACTACACTACGTTCAGTTTTTTTTTTAAGTCGGTTTGTATGTAAAAAAGAAACATTACCCTCAGTACATGAAGGTACTACTTACTAAACAGGGTGTAATAAGAACTCGGGTAGTAATCTTACATTTTTATCGCACACCCTGTACTTACCTGCTGTAATGCAATTTATTTTAATAAATACGTGATAATATAGTAATCAATGAACTTTTTCCCTCAATAGCGAATTATCTACGACAGACAGTCGCGCGAGATTAGTTATCTCTTATCAGTGGCTGATAGCCAACAGCTACGTCTGGCTTGCACATGTTGTATGCGTGACTATCATTCATAGGTATTTTCAGGCACCATGAAAGTAAAAAACGTAGTTTATTAAAAACAAAGAAACGTTGGTATGAATAGCTCGTGGTTTGAATTTAATGTTTTGTTTTTTTTCGGCACTCGCGGTTTGCGTTTTTGCCACGGCAAAACGGGGAATCTTATTCACGGAAAATAATAGGATTATAATAATCTCAGTACAGAGTACTTTATTATGGAATATTTTCTTCAAATTCAAATGGGACCGCTATTGAGGTACCCTCTTTCCAACAAAAAAAATTGGTTTACAAATCCTGAAGTTATCGCGTAACATACATACAAAATAAAAAAACAAAAGAACATACAGTCGAATTGGGAACCTCCTTTTTTTGAAATTGGTTAAAAATAAGCAAATAATATTAATGTTTATGAATGTAAATATAGTATGAATCATAATTAGATGTCCAAAATGTAAACAAATGGGACAACCGGGCAAAAAAAAACGTTTTAAATGGTGGTTTCTTGTTTTCGACAATAGTAAACGTTTAACACGATAAAACTTAGAACTATTTTCATTTTGCAATATGTAAGTATTTTTACTAATTTCGTTTAATCCAATAATTATAATGAAAGACTTACGGTTAAGATAGTAAATGATTTTACGACATTGGTAACGCAATCGGGATCTATAACATTTTTTGGGTAACCTATCACAAACTCGAATTTCTTTTTTCCGAATATCATTAGTCCGAAAACGGTTCGACTTTTTTTCATTAGTGCGATGACAGTTTTGGTATAAATTTGCAACACAAAAATGTCTTACAGCAGAAGTATCGGTTGTCCGAAAACCTATTGTTAGAATAATTATTACACATACGTATTTTTTGGACAGAAGTTTGTTTGGTCTAATCATGTTTGTTATACTGTCTGTTTTCCATATAATTTAGATTGCTGAAAATTCGTTTCGACAAAATTACAATTCTTAGATAAAATTGTACGGCCATACAATTTTACCATACAGCTCCAAAATTCTGGACTGTACTTTGCTGGTGCACAGCAAGTCCACTTACGTAATTTTCGTAATACCATTGTGCTATGTTTTTGCTGTCATCTGAAATGTAATTTAAAAACAATGGTCTTGAGTATTCAATAAATAACTTATAACTGAGTCGAGGAGAGTACTAGAGGATGTTTTTTGTGTATTTGTATTACCTAGACGGTACGACCCCCTCCGGTAGGTTTAGGTTAGGTTATTATATGAAAATGCCGCACGAGCCGAGAGACCATAGCGAGCGTGTCGCGGCAGCGGCCGTCGAGTGCCAGAGCCGAATTCGTTTGCATTACCTAGACGGTACGACCCCCTCCTCATGTCCTGTTAGTATATGAAAAAGCAGCACGATCTGATCGACCGAAGCGAGTGACTACAACTCGATCAAATAAACTTGCATCTCGTTTACCATATTTTCTAAAGATGCGAGGTGCTTTAATTTGACGAGTTATATTGTGCGAAATGTTCTAATACTTTTAGTACCTGTAATAAGAAATAATATAACAAAAATGTATCATGGATATCGTTTTTTTACAAAATAGAAATATTCAATTAGATACATGGGTCAAACGGCTTATTGGGGAAATAAAAATCGGGAAAAGAATAACTTGTCAATATGTGAAAATAGTGAAACAGTAAATGGTGTAATGAAAAAAATCGCAACATGTTTTCGGACAAATGAAACAAAATCTATTCAATAAAAGTCTAAATGTTTTCGGAGAAACACTATAAATCATGTTTCTAGCTTGTGATAGATAACCCATTTTTCGTGTCACCATTTTGTCATATCATAGACGTCATTCTTGCTTCGTTACTCGAATTACAATGTTTTCTTGAAAATTATTGTGTGTTAAAGTTTTTGTTTATTGTTATATTTTGTAATAGATAGTTAAAATTGTTGAAAATGAGAACCTCCTCCTTTTCCAATTTCGTTAAATATAGACGGTTTAGACGGTTTAGCACAATTGCATTCATATTTTGACAATGACATTTCTTTGTTTACATTTTAGACATCTAGTATGTTTATGATTTTAAGAGTTTTCTAATGACTACGTTGTGGCATACCCAAAGTAGAATGTTATTAAAACAAAGAAAATAAAAAACCTGATATGTGAAACAATATAAGGAATTTTGTTTTTTAATGGTTAAATCCATCCTCCATCTACTTGATGGAAAGTCACGATAAGGTTAACAATGGAGCATGCACGCACACCTATATAATGCCTATTAATTCACGCTTTGAAAAGACCTAAGTTATTCAGGGAACAAATCTGCAGACGGGGAATCCCACTTCAATGGCGTGCGTCCATAGTAATGTGGAAGCGTAACGTTTCATCCGAATCTGGAGTATATATACACAACCTAGTCCCCCGACGGTAGGAAGGGAATGGGAGAATGATTTCATGCAATTCCATCGTACACTCTCCGTGATATACCTGTAGAACGCTCCAGAATAAGCAGTCAATTATGATTATTAGAAGGCTGCGTTTCCACTAGAGATGTGCGAGATAACAAGGTGATGTGTGAGGACAATA